CTCACCTTCAGCTGAAACACATTCCAAACTACTGCCCTACAAGCCCGGGAAGTGGAATCCCCACTTCCTCCTAGTATAAGGCAAATAAACAAACAAACAAACAAACAAACAAACAAAAATAAAACATTTGGTTGGTGGGTTGGTTGAAACAGGGTTTCTCTGTGTAGCCAAGGCTATCATGGAACTCAATCTGGAGCCAGGCTGTCCTGGAACTCAGATTACTCTGCCCCTAAAGTGCTGCCGTTAAACACATGCACGAAAGGAAATTCAGAAACAATCCTTCCAGCACAGTTCGGTGGTGCATACCTTCAATTTTACCCCAGCACTTGGGAGGCAGAGACAGGCGAACCTCTGTGAACTTGAGGCCAGCTTGGTCTACAAACCAAGTTCAAGGACAGTCAAGACTATTACATAGAGAAACCAGTTTCAAAAAAGAAAGAAAACAAACAACTCCCCCTCCCCTCACTCTTTCTTGCCTTTTAGGACAGAAAAATGGCTGACTGAAGTAACTAACTTACCTCCTGTTCTTCAGCCTTCTGCCCTTGGGATGGCTCCTCCTCCTCACCACTAAATGTTGGAGGGATGCTATTGTTAATGTTGAAAGTGACAGTGATCCTAGAAAGCCAAGTGGAAACACACCAAGTTACAATAGTACCCTGAGTGACACACAGAAGAGGAATGCTTGCTACAGAAAGGCACACTGAAACAATGTCTCCAACCCAGCTGCTGCACTATACTGGGAATTAAGAACTTTAAATAGCCGGGAGGCTTTAATCCCAGCACTCGGGAGGCAGATCTCTGAGTTCGAGGCTGGTCTGGTCTGACAGCTTCCAAAACAATACAAAGAAACCCTGTCTTATAAAAACAAAAACCAACAACAAACAAACAAAAGAACTTTAAATAGCCACAAGGCAACTGAACTACCAGCTACTTCCCCTCTCTCCTGGTTTTGGAGCTCAAGCAAATACCCTATGATTGCCAGGAAAAGGTTCACAGCTGCATACTGTTCCCCTGCCCTTCGTGGTAACTTTAACTTGTAAGAATTCGTATGTGACAAAACATGTTCTAAAACGGGATACATTTCTTTGCCACGACACCTGGAAGCAGAAGTTCTGAACCATTCTACTTCAATAGGGCCAAGCCACATAAGAGTACACTGAATGCTGCTATCAGGCCACTTTGCCATAGAAAAAGAATGGTAGGCTGAGCCATAAAACATGCCTGAGTTCCTGGGCACAAAATTGGCTGAAAAACCATTAAAATGATTTAGGTGAAGTTACAAGCAACCTATGTATGAGGCAAACACTATATAGTATGCAAAAAAAAAAAAAATCAGAGCCTTCCTTCACAAAATGAGCCATAGACTTTAAGGTTTGAAGTTGCAAAACTCTTAAGAAAACAGACTCAAATCTTTGCAACCTTTGGCCAGGCAATGGTTTCTTAAAGCTAACACTAAAAAGTGTAACTGTGTGTAGTGCTGGAGATTGAACCCAGAGCCCCACACACGTTAGGCAGTTTGAACATGGCTTACATTCTCCCCTCATGTACGCAGGAACCTAATCCTAAAGTTAATGATATTAAAGACATCTCCCCATCTTTGGTGTTAGGGATCGAGTCCAGAGCTTCATGCATCTACCAAAGAGTGACACCCACTAGTGTCAACCTGTGCTGTTTAGAAATGGGGCTTTGTTGGGTATATTCAAGCTAGTTGGGCTCCTGCTCCCAAGCTATATCTGCAATTGGTACTGGTTGCAAAGGAAAAAAAAATCAGTCTTCTACAATGAATGGGTATATCATACTTCAGGGTAGGTCCCAATGGCCAACATCAACAAACCAAATGATATTTTATACACATTACTCAGATTAGGCTAGCCTTGACTTTAAAGATCCACTGGCCTCGCCGGGCGTTGGTGGCGCACGCCTTTAGTCCCAGCACTCGGGAGGCAGAGGCAGGCGGATCTCTGTGAGTTCCAGGCCAGCCTGGTCTACAGAGCTGATTCCAGGACAGCCTCCAAAACAATACAGAGAAACCCTGTCTCGAAAAAAAAACCAAAAAACCAAAAACAAAAAATCCACTGGCCTCTTGTACTGGGATTAAAGGTGTGCCTGGTGGTTTGTCTTTTTTTTGCAAGAGAAAGAAAGGGCAGGGAGCTAGGTGGGCAGGAGAGGCTGGTTTGTTTGTTTGTAAGACAGGGTTTCTGTGTAGCTTTGACCAGACTGGCCTTGAAATCAGAGATCGGCCTGTTTCTGCCTTCCAAATGCTGGGATTAAAGGCGTGCACCACCACCACCACCCAGCAAGTTTGAGAGGCTTTAAAGAGACAGAAACCAGAACTTTTCAACCCTGCCAGAAGGCCATCACCAATTCCGCCAGGCCCCAGAACCAACGACCCCTTTCTTCTGGCCTTGAACTTTCTCTTCTCTAAGGTTTTCAAGACAGGGCTTCTCTGTGTAGCACTGGCTATCCTGGAACTTGCTCCATAACAGGTTGACCTTGAACTCAAGAGATCTGCCTCCCTGGGATTAATGGTGTGTACCATGACAGCCCAACCACTGGATAAAACTGCTTTCTTACACATGTGTGTTCAGGAAGCACTGGGGGCTGATTCTGGGCCTCACACATGCTAGCAGAGCCAGAGCAGGATTTCTCCAAATAAGACTGGTGAAAGAGTAACAAAACAGCATAACAAAGGCTTAGCAGTTTTAGGGGCACCAGGTGTGGTGGCACAGGCCTGTAACTTCAGCACATATGGATCTGAAGCAGGACCAAGTGCCTGAGGCCAATCTGCTACAAGTAAGATAGAGATCTCTAAACAAAACAGTTTAGGGGATGGATAAGCTAAACTTGGCAAAGAGCTCTACCTCTGATGGCCTTTCTACACTGTAACTTCATCCTGTTACTTAAATGCTACATATCTTGCGTTTTCAACTGCTATAAACACAAGCCAGAGGGGATCATTTTATGTGAATTCTAAACATTCCTAAATTCCAATTCAGAACAGCACTGTCATCAATAACCCAATGCCTGTGTCTGCCATCACAACAGACGTCCCTCTACACATTTTCTTCGAGCTGCTTCATGTCTCCTTAATTACCAGGCCGTAGCAAACGTGCCAGTGAATGTCCTCCCTGGAACCTAAGAAAATTTCCAATTGCATGCTTTCTCAAAAGCCATTTTACCAAAGCATGGGGCCTAAGCTTAGGATCTTCTGGGGATGGCCAAGACAAGGTGCTGCAGAGTGAGGGATTCAGTCTCCTAGAACTCCTGGGCCAGTACTTACTTTTCTCCAGCAACTTTGCGCAATAATTTAGCCTCTGTCCCGTTCACTTCCAGCTCCCAATCTCCAGACATCTTGGGAAGGGACTTATGCTTCTGGATTTTCTTCTCTTCCTTAATTTCATCCGTCAAGAATTCAACAAAGGCTTTGTCTCCTAAAAGACAAACCAACATGGTCAAAAATGAGAAAGCCAACTGCCTTATCCTATAGACCTGAACTGTGTCTAATTCATGTCTATGGCTGCTCCAAGACTCTAGCCCAATTCACTCCCGAAAGCGTCCCGTTGCCCACTCTGTAAAGCCAGGGTTTATTTACTGGGCGGAACTGGGTTCTAGCAGTTATTTCTTTTCATGTACTATTATTACTCTCCGTATAAAACTAAAGAATTCCCAACTACCCGCTTTCACTTGCCAAAAGCCATGTCCAGCAACCACATTCTCAAACCACGACCCCCCCGGGCTTTTGCCAACTCATATTTCCAAGATACGACGAGGGAAGCCTGCAATCGCGAGGGTCCAGCTCGGGATACGTTCCAACCTGGGTCCCCGCACCGCGGCCTGGATGCGTGAACCGTACCTTCGGTGTGCAGAGCTCCACAGCCGCACGAGCAGGGCGCCGGGGGCTGCAAGAGGCCGGAACGCCGCGCGGAGCCGGCTCGCACGCTGAGCAGACCGAAGGGCCGGAGGCACGGTCGGGGCGCGGGTTGCAGCAGCTGCCGGAGGGGCGAGGTCGGGACGGCGGCGCGGAGGCCCGTGGCGGCAGCGCCCAGGGCGCGGGGCACGCAACGCAGCAGGGGAAGCATCGCGGGGAAGAGTCGCGAGGAAGACACGTGCGGAGCGAATGACGACCGGACCAAGTTAAGACTCCGTACGACCTCGCTCACCACCGGAAGCCACGCCCCAGCCCGGGAAGCTCTTTTACGTCAGCGAACGACAGGCACTGGGCTAGACTGCGCCCTCTGCTGAGAGCCTCCAGTGCAGCGGAGAGGTCCTGAATCCCTTAGCTCTGTTCTCCAAGGGCTGATGTGCTCTTTTCAGTTGCTGCCCACTCTTACCAATTCACCCATTTTTCTCGACCCACACCAGGCGTTGTTAATTCGTGGAATGTGCTCAGGTCTTCCTCCAACTCGCGCCTGGTCATATACTCCAAGATCACCTCATTTAAAGGTCTTCTGGAACCGCCTAAACACCGGGAAAGCTCAGACTGACCTGCACTCAGCTGCTATGGAGTGGGCATTCATTTTGGAAGCCTCTGCAACCCCTAACAGTTCATCCAGGTTTAAATGACTATCATTTTCCTGGAAGCAGGAATTCATGGCTTACATCATCACATTTATGTTAAGAATCGAAGATACCAGGGACTGGACATAAAGCTCAGTGGTTAGGATTATTTGTTGCTCTTGCAGAGGACTAGAGTTCTATTCCCAGCACCACATGGCAGCTCACAACCATCTGTCTCGAGTTCTAGGGCATCAGAAACTCTTTTGATTTCCATGAACACCGGGCGTGAATGTGGTGCACAGACATGTAGGCAAACATGCAAACACACAAAACAAACAACAAACACTCATGTCTTACACTCACAACACCCGGAAGGAGACAGCTCTCAGGCCAGCTGTGTAGGCCAGCCCGGTCTACACAGTGGGTTCAGAACAGCAAGGGTTACATAGAAAGATCTTGTCTGAAAAAAATAGAAGTAAATATAGACACCAAGTCTTACCAAATGAATGGCAATAAGACTAATGTTTAATATTCTAAAAAACATTCTATAAACCAGAGAAAGGAGGCCCAACAAAAGAGGCCACACAGGTCATAAACAAAGATTCATTTCTTTTATGGGTTTGATAGTCAAAAGCATTGCACACAAGAACTGTTATATGTTGTTTAAGATCAGATAGAGTACAGCACAACTTCAAATCAACTTGATATTTTTGCTCTTTAGTTTTTTTTCTACACTACAACAATCAATATAAAGTGGTTTCCCCACAGGTACAGTCTAGCGGATATGCTCAAGGAATGGCATCTTAGATGCATGGCCATAGTTTCATACACATCCTGGTAGCTGGAGTACAAGGGTTTGTGTCACAGTAAATGTTTTGCTGCTTTGGAATCTTGTTTGAGCTGGCAGAGGTGCAAAGGTTTTCATGGGCAATGAAACCATTGCCCTGGGTGTTCCAGGGTTATTCACCTTCATGTTTCTGAGGCTGCACTGTCTAGATTGGATTCTTCAGGTCAGAGAGTTCACCAAATGGAAAAGTAGCTCAGGGTGTATTGCTGTAAAATAATGAAACATTTCACATTTTTATTTTTTGCTTTTTTGAGACAGGGTTTCTCTGTATAGCCCTGGCTGTCCTGGAACTTGCTCTGTAGGCCAGGCTGTCCTTGAACTCACAGAGATATGCCTGCCTCTGCCTCCCGAGTGCTGGAATTAAAGGCGTGCGTGACCACTGCCTTCAACCAATTTACTTTCTTAAGAAAGCTTAAAGGGTACTGTCCTGCAGCTTAAGATAATCATTAACTTCTCTGTAGTAATATGTAGAGTCAGAATGGGGTTTCCATCTGATTTAATCCCTGAGCAGCTTTGTTAAAAAAGTTTGTTTTAAAAGGCCAATAAAAAACTAAATATTCTATTAAAATTCTACCACAATGTTAAAGTGATGAACATATTCTGTACAGAAACATTAAAGCTACTCGGAAACTGAATCCTTCACTCCTTTTCTGGGAAGTGCCCAGTACTCACTGCAGCTAGTCACTGCTTGTTACGTTCCCAGTGCTTGTTCTGGACTCAGTCAATGTAAGCTAATTTTTCCTTGACCCAGAAAACACCCTATTAGTTTACTGGAAAGCAGGAACTGTGCATTGCTGGGGAACAAATTGTCTCACCTTGTTTTCTTTAACCAGCATAATGAATGCTCCATTAAAAATACAAAGTTTCTCTTACAAGGCTAAATAAATACCCCAGCCCCTTTGTGTATATAGGAAAAATACCCCCCCCCCGACAGGGTTTCTCTGTATTGTTTTGGAGGCTGTCCTGGAACTTGCTCTGTAGACCAGGCTGGCCTTGAACTCAGAGATCCGACTGCCTCTGCCTCCCGAGTGCTGGGATTAAAGGTGTGCCCTACCAATGCCCGGCGGAAAAATACACTTTAAAAGGTCCAACTTTCAGAGAGCTTTTCAGAAACTTGGTAATGTAACCATTTTATCAAAGAAATGTCATGAGTACCCAGACAACCCTAAAACATTGGCTAAAAGCTTGATTGCTCATGGTTAGGGTTATAATAAAGCCTAAACCTGACTCAACATACACAGCTGTGGATCAATAACCTGGGAATGGAAGTACCCACTCACACTATGCTCTCTGGAAAGAGCTTGTTGGACCCAGAGAGAAGAAACTGCCTACTGTCTATGAAGTACCTTGTAGGCAGTTTGGCCCCTGCTTATAAACAATGCAATTCAAAATCCTAGTAGTAGAGATGCGTCTGGACCAATTAAGTACAATAAAAGGGCTAAATTTGGCCATCTCTAAGTTCAAACATTGTTCTGGGAAAGTGTGCTCTCGGCCTCCCCCTTTCCTCCACTTAGATACAAGGTCCAGCCCAGGCTGGCCTAGAACCCTCAGTCCTCCCCTCTCAGTTGGGTTACTGGGATTGTTTATTCCTAACAATCAACTAAGGTGAATCTTCCAAATAGGAAAATGATGGGGAGAGGCTTATCTACTTCCCTCCGACAAATGGAGTCGATTAAGGTTTGAGAGTGGCATCTGGTTAGGATATAGCAAAACTGTCCCCAGGTTCCTGAAAAGAAAAATGGACCCTGAATATCAATAAGACCAAATCTACAAAGTCTGGGGGTGGTGAAAAGGACAAAGTGATACTCTGGCTTCTGAGCCATCAAGCGTCTGTCCCCTCCTTGCCACCCAGCAGCTCTGACCTGGGCCCCATCTGAACAGAGACTGCTGAGATGGGTGTGAAGCCTCCTTCACGTGCACACATTCGTAGGTGCCCAGTCAAAGAGAAAATGACCATGGACTTGCAAGGCCATTGCACTGAAAAGCTGGCTTCCCAGTTTCAGGAGACCTGCATGTCTTCAGAAAGCATTGCTGAGGACATGCAACTACAGAGGCACTGAGGACCAACCAAGGAATTCCTCTGCTGGTCTCTGCTTGGAGACACACAGGAGAATGTGCTACATACACCATGTGCCATGAAGGTCAACAAGTCAGAATATACCTTACTCTGGCTATGTCTGTGGGAGCCAGTTTCTTCTGTTTTCTATTTAAAAAACACACAGGTAGACATTAAAATACCAGTGAAGGCTGGGGATTGGCTCAGTGGCAGAGTGTGTATGCATAGCATGCATGAGGCCCTGGGTTCCACGAGGGGAGGGAGGCAAGGGGGAGAAACACTGAGGTCAATCAATTGGATCTGTAGCTTCCTACGGCTCTCCCAGAAACATTGCCCTCCCTGAGTGACAAGAGCTCAAGGAGCTGTGTTGTCCCTAATTAGTATCACAAAGCACAATGGTTTACAATTCACTGATTGTCTTATCTTGTGCCAGGCAAATCTCTGGGTAATTAATGTTCATTTTCTCTAAACTTCATTACTCTGAACTTGTAAGTCTTATTCCCCTCTGGCAGATGAGGAAACTGAGGCTCAGAAGTTAATTCAGTCACTCAAAATCGCCCAGTCAAGCCCAAAGAACAAGTCTTGTTTCTCCCAGTCTGAGTATGAGCATGTCTACAAGGCTGAGTCTGGAGTTTCATCAACACTTTCAAGTTCCTGAACTCAGCAAGTCTGGCTGCATTAAACTGTGCGGTTTCTCCAGCTCCCAAGTCTCCTTGGAAAATAGCTGTGATCTAAGATCCAGGCCCAGTCATGCTGGCAGCATCCTGGGGTGGATCAGTTCCTGGCAGTTTTCAGCTTCCTCCGGAAGTAGTCAGGGGCAGCCTCATAGAGCCACTCGGCATCCACAACACAGAGGTCCCGCATGTAGCATTTGTTGGTGCAGAGCAGTGCAGTGTATACCACACAGGCAGGTTTGCAGTGGAAGAGGACAGATGATGGGTGGATGGCCACAGGCTGGTGTGTGTCTGTTGTGGCATAGGTGCCATCTGGCTGGAGCTCAGCAGTACTCATAAAGAGACTGTGAGCCAGGCAGCGGCGGACACTCTCCATGTCCCCTCGAGATGACATGATTGGCATTGACATCTGTTTTAGGAGACAAAAAAGATCCCAAACGTTAATCTTCCCAAGCATCATACAGTACAAGGTAACAACAAGATCTAAAGTACAGCCCACACAAAGCAAAGTCTTGACTGACGTTCAAAGGTGGCATTAAATTGCCACAGACAGCAGCTCAGGTGGAGTATGAGGGCATGGGTGAGAAGCCACCCAGTGTGGAGAGAAGCATCTGAAGATACAGGATGGGGGCTGCAGAGATGGCTTAGCACTTAAGAGCACTGGCTGCTCTTCCAGAAGACCTGGTTCAAGTCAAAGCACCCAGGTGTCAGCTCACAACTGTCTAAAACTAGCTGTGTTGAGGGTGGGGATGGGGGATTGGGACGGATGACATCTTGGGACTAGAGAGAAGGCTCTGTTGTTAAGGGCACTTATTCCTCCTGCAGGGGAGACCTGGACTCGATTCCCAGCACCTACAAGGAATTATAGTTCCAGGGTACCTGATGTCCTCTTCTGACCTCCATGGGCATCAAGCATATACATGGGGCAATTATACATACAAGCAAAACACACATAAAATAATCTAAAAAGAAAACCCAAAGACACAGTTCAGCTGCTAGTGTATACCTGCTGACACAACACTTGCCACAAGGCTCTGGCTCCACGGCCTGCAGTGGAAGCAGCAGCTCGGCAGTCTATGTGCATGGAGGCTCAAGTCAGCCCAGCCCCACAGACAGAGACTGCTGAGGACAACCGTGGAGTCTGACAGTTCTAAACCTGAGGCTGCTGGGTGGACCAACCTGTGGAGCCACTCACCTGCCATGAGCTTCACTGACAGAGCCTGAAGCCCCAACAGTCTGCATCATGCTCACAGCTGCATCCCCCCAACAGGCAGCTGAAGACTTGCTGGGATTGGAAAGCATAGAGATCGAGGCTCCTGGAGACCTCAATGCTGAGGTTGCCTCTCTCCCCCTCCCCTACACTCAGCATACTGCAAACGAACTCGACAGCTGGAACTGCAGCCATCCTGGGTGTATGAACTGGGGAGCACCCGGAGGGAGAACCTGCTTGGCCCTGACATTGCAAAGTTGAGTGCAGCCAGCAGAGGTGTCAGGAACATGAAGGGAAGCTACTAAAGTGAAGACAGCTTCAGCAGACACAGAACACTTGTCCAACACAGGCTTAGCACAAGCACAAAGCACAGGGAAGATAGGGACATGGGACATAGGTTCCATTCTCCTTACTGAACATACTGGGCAGCCTCCAAGTATCAAGTACACAGCAAAGTTATTACATACATAAGCAAGACCCTAGTTTAATAAAGAAAAGCTACCTCGGGAGGCAGAGGCAGGCGGATCTCTGTGAGTTCGAGACCAGCCTGGACTACCAAGCGAGTTCCAGGACAGCCTCCAAAGCCACAGAGAAACCCTGTCTCGGAAAAAAAAAAAAAAAAAAAGAAAGAAAAGCTACGCCGGGCGTTGGTGGTGCACGCCTTTAGTCCCAGCATTCGGGAGGCAGAGGCAGGTGGATCTCTGTGAGTTCAAGACCAGCCTGGTCTACAGAGCAAGTTCCAGGACAGCCTCCAAAACTGTACAGAGAAACCCTGTCTCGAAAAAAAAAAAAAAAAAAAAAAAAACCACATCTTTTTGCCTCCCTGGTGTTTTTCAATTTTTCTTCTTAATTTTTAGTAGTATTCCGGGAGGCAGAGGCAGGTGGATCTCTGTGAGTTCAAGACCAGCCTGGTCTACAAGAGTTAGTTCAGGAGAGCCTCCAACACCACAGAGAAACCCTGCCTTGGAAAACAAAACAAACAAAACAAAAAATTTAGTAGTATTCTTTTTAAATCAGAAAATAGTTATATAAAGTTTATAAATTTTATGCATGAGGTTAGGGTTCCATGCCCAGCACTCCCTACAAAATGGAAACTAGGTCACAGATACAATGTAACTATGTGAAAGGTAAGTTAAATGGCTCAGTTGTAGAGAACTGCCCAGTGGGTTCAATCACCAGTACTAGGATGGAGTGGATATGGGGAGGGGAAGAAAAAAAGAACAAACTAAAATCACCATGGATTTCTAGAAATAAACTGGGGGAGGGGGAGGGAAGGGGAGGGACAGAGAGAGAAGAATTATGGGTAACTTATTTCTTGTACATTTTACTTTTTTTTTTTTTTTTTTTTGGTTTTTCGAGACAGGGTTTCTCTGTGGCTTTTGGAGGCTGTCCTGGAACTCGCTCTGTAGACCAGGCTGGTCTCGAACTCATAGAGATCCGCGTGCCTCTGCCTCCCGAGTGCTGGGATTAAAGGCGTGCGCCACCAACGCCCGGCTTATTTTACATTTTTTACAATGAGATTTTCTTTCATACCACTGACTGCAAGCAATCCAAGACCCCCATAATAAAACGAAAACTCCTTGAGAAGGAAGTACTACCTTTAAGCAGATTTCCCTCAGCTGTGCTCTGACTTCAGCTACTAGCAGCATATTCTTGCTGTTGACAAAATTCTCTTTGCACCAGTCCTGAAGAGAAGAGAAGGAGAGATCTTGATCCTCTCATTTCTATGCAGAGGAAATATGCACGTGACAAAATTTGAATGGCACTGCTGAATTCAGAGGGTTGTTCAGATGTCAAAAGGAATAACTACAATAAAACTTAAAGGTTCCCTTCTAGAGTAGTCATGAGAAAAGCTAGGCTGGTAATGCATGCATCCTCATACCCATAAGGGACGAGTACCTCCAGAATATTATTAAAAGCCAGTGAGAAAAGACCAACAAACTGGAGAAAAATAAACAAAAGATATAGAAATGCCTAATACATGTATGTAAGGATGCTTGTTTCCTCAGGGATGGAGGCAATGAGGGTTAGAACAATGGAAAAACAGAAGACACAGTGGTTTCAACAGACAGTTGGAGGGACAGTGGAGATGGGAATTTCCCACACTCCAGGAGGGGCTGCCAGCTGGCAAGTGCCTGCAGGCTGGAGAAACTGAGCTACAGAGCCTAGTCCAACAAGTCTCCTTGCTCCCTTGTTGGCCGCACAGAATTCTCCCTCCTGAGCACAGGCAGTGCTGAGCAGATGACCGGAAGCGTGAGCTGAGAGAACAGAGTGTGAATGGACGTGGAGTAAGTGCTCGCTTCCTGACACAGTCTCTCAGGCACTGCTGGAAAGCATGTCCTTAGTGCTGGGCATGGTGGCTCACTCCTGAGGTCCAGCACTTGGAAGGTTGCAGATCACACGTCTGAGATCAGCCTGGGTTACGTACAAAAGCAAGACCCTGCTTTAGAGACAACCTAATGGATGACACCCTCTTGGGGAACACACACCAAGGGCAGAGCGTCTTTGGTGAGGAAGGACTAAGCACTTCGGCTGCATCAGCACTTCTCTGTTTGTTTAAACATCAAGTGAGGGCCAGTGAGACAGCTCTGAAAGTCTGAACTAAACCCCATGTACCCATTCCATAGAAGGACAGAATCAACTCCAAAGTCGTCCCTTGACCTCTCCAGGTGTATGTGGCACATCTGTATATGTGTGTGCACAAAACCATGAATATTTGAACACACACACACAGTGTGAACATAAATAACAAACGAAGGTAAATATAGCAAAGTTAACAGATGTTAAAATTGTAGGGTAGCATTTTTTTCTAAAGAATGCACACTACAGTACAATTATGGATTTATTAACACATGAGACTACACTGCCATTTTCCATCATAGTATATAAGGAATTGAAATATGATTAAAAAAAACAACTAGTATAACAGTTGAGCAGATAGGCAAGAAAACCATCTTATATGGTTTGAATATTCTCCAAAGCTTCATTGAATCCCTATTGTGAAATACTAAATGGGAACTTAATTATGGTATTTATGGGCCAGTAAGATGGCTCTGTGAGTAAGGTGTTTGCCGTTAAGTCTAATGACCCAAGTTCAATCCCTGGGATCCACTTGGTAGAAGGAGAGACCCAAAAGTTGTCTTCTGACCTCCACACATATGCCCCCCATTACGAACAAATAAATAAATAAAGTGAAATTGAAAATAAACTGGTGTCATGGCACACATCTTTTATCTTAGCACTTCAGGCAGGTCTCTAAGTTTGAGATCAGCCTGATCTACATAGTGACATCAGGATAGCCAGAGCTACATAGTAAGACCTTGTCTAAAAAAGTCAGGTAGCTGTGGCATACACCTTTAATCCCAACATGAGGAAGACAGAGGCAGGGAGATCTCTGTGAGTTTGAGGCTGGCCTGGTCTATAGCGCAAGTTCCAAGACAGCCAGGGCCACAGAGAGAAACCCTGTCTTGGAAAACCAAAAACCAAACTAAACCACCCTTAAAATAAATAGCTGGGCGTAACAGTAGCACACCCGTTTAATCCTAGAACTTGGCAGGAAGAAGCAGGCAGATCACTATCAGTCTACATAGAGAATTCCAGGCCTTGGAGTTATATAGTGAGAACCTGTTTTGAAAAACAAAACAAAACAAAACAAAAAAAACCCAGCAAGCATATGGTGCCTAGAAACACAAGAAGGCAAACACACACACACACACACACACACACACACACACACACACACACACACACACACACACTGTCTTTTCTCCCGCTGTATGATGCTGTGTTCTACCTTGAAGCATCAGATAAGGCCTCTAAGTCTTACCAGTCTAGAACATGAGCCAAAATAAATCTAATGGCCTGTCTCAAGTACTTCTTTACAGTAATGAGAAATAGGCTAGAGCTGGGCAGAGTAGCTCACAGCTTTAGTCCCAGCATTCAGGACGCAGAGGCAGGTGGGTCTCTCTGTGTGTTCAAGACCAGCTTGGTCTACATCCAGGACAGCCAGGGACACAGAGAGACCTTGTCTCAAAACAAAAACCAAAAAAACAAAGACAAGGGGATAATTGTAGTGGCTGAGATAGAATCTATTACTTATCTAACTTGTCCACATAGAGTCTGTGTTAAAGACAAGCAGAACAAATACCTGAACTAATGTTTCTTTTTAGTGATTCCTGGCACATACACATTTCTGAGATAGCTGGTGTGTGTGTGTGTGTGTGTGTGTGAGAGACTCTTTAAGATGATTTTGTCAAGAAAAGAAGGCATATTTAAAAACACATGCCTGAAAGCCCGAATGAGACTCACCTTATTCCCACCTATGTTTTTGAAGGTCCGATAGATATTGAGGAGGGTGATGTGATCCCCCTCGCTGGATATGAATTTCTTGCGGACACTTTGCACTTCATCTCTCCGGGCAGGAGGGTTGTAAAGAACACTATCCACAGACAGCAGGGAGACGATGGTCAGAATCTCTTCCGTACAGTGGAATTTGGAGGACAGGAGGATAGTCTAGAAAGTCAAATTGAAAATGCATGAGTCAAGTTTCCTGGCTTCTGAGTAGTGTTCCTGTACTCTCTTGCAGCTTCCCTTTAAGCAGTGTCAATGCCATTCACTGTTTTATGCAAACAGAAAGATGCCATCCCCACAGGAGTCCACATCTTTGTGGGCAGGGCTGTGACTGATGTCTGAATCCCCCACACAACATAAACCAGCACTGTACACAAAGAGGGGTGATATGTCATATTTAAGAGAGCAAATGAGGTTAGTTCAGAAGCACTGGGCTTAGGCATTACCTAACCTGTACTGCAGAGAAAGGGAATGAGGAGGAGGGGTCATTTACTTTGGCAAATTTGGGCTCTAAAGGAAATGCTGCCATCTTTCTTCCAATTGGAGTCAGGGTAAGCTGGTCATCCTTATGTTCAAGAGCACCTAACAGGTCCAGCTGGGCAATGGCCGCCTGAATGTGATCTACAGAAACGGAGACATAAAAAGGAGCCAGAAGTCCAAAACAGGCAGAAGATGCAGCTAGTTGATTGCTTCTGGGTGCTTACAAGTCTACAGAGACCACCAAGACCACCCACCATTGTGCTCACACTTCCTAACCCTTAATTGTACCACTAAAGAGCAAGAGATGCATAAAGCAATCATGGGAGAGCAGTTACCCAGAAGAATGAGAAGGAGGCAAATGAGGGGTCCCGGGGCTTGGCTTCCAAGGTATGGGTAGCATCACACTGATGTTGGCCATATTACCCTTATAGGTTATATTTATTGTCCCTTTCTAGGAATTTCAAAATGGAAAAAAAAAAGCATCAGGAGTGTACCCTATGGGTTATTTGTGTTTCTTTTTTTTTGGTTTTTCGAGACAGGGTTTCTCTGTATTGTTTTGGAGGCTGTCCTGGAACTCACTCTGTAGACCAGGCTGGCCTCGAACTCACAGAGATCCGCCTGCCTCTGCCTCCTGAGTGCTGGGATTAAAGGCGTGCACCACCAACAATTTCGGCCAGGTGGTGGTGGCGCAAGCCTTTAATCCCAGCACTCGGGAGGCAGAGGCAGGCGGATCTCTGTGAGTTCCACGCCAGGCTGGACCGACAGCCTCCAAAACAATACAGAGAAACCCTGTCTCGTAAAACCAAACAAAAAAAAAAAAAAAAAAAAGATTTACAAATTTCTACATGGACAGGTTTTTATGTAGAAGACAGTCAGAAAAATGTTTCTTTGAGAGAAGACCTGAACTGAGGACACCAGGGTAGGACCCAAGACTCTCTCTCTTTTCTTTCTTTCTTTTTTTTGTTGTTGTTTTTGGAGACAGGGTTTCTCTGTGAAGCTTTGGAGGCAGTCCTGGAATTCGATCTGTAGACCAGGCTGACCTTGAACTCACAGAGATCCACCTGCCTCTGTCTCCTGAGTGATGGGATTAAAGGCGTGCACTACCACCTGGCATTAAAGAAAAGGAAGATGGCAAGGTGATAGGTCCAGGTACTAAAGCTGCCACCATTTAATATCAGTTCTTTTTTTTTTTCTCCTTTTGGTTTTTTGAAACAGGGTTTCTCTGTAGCTTTGGAGACTGTCCTGGAACTTGCTCAGAAGACCAGGCTGCCCACCACCATCCCACCTAGTGTCAGTTCTTAAAGGTTCTTCCTCCAGGAGAGATTACTAATGAAGGGAGGGACTAGTCAAATCCCAGTTTAACACAAAAGAACATGCCCTCTTTATCCTTTCTTTGGGCTTCAGCATCCACGTACAACAGTGCTTTAACATAACAAATGAAATCAAATCAACAAAAGAACATGACCAAAATACTTTTTTCTTCCTCAGAATACTTTTCCTGTGGAAAAAGCTCCTCTGCTATTGTCTGTCTGTATGTCTACCTTCCAGCTTACCTGGAGATGGTTTGGACATGAAGTCAAAGGTGAGCACGTTTGGGACTTTCATTGCTAGGAGTTGCAGTATCACACTTGCTAGGTTACACCTGTGAGGGGAGAAATGAAGGTCATCTGTCTATCCCTGACCCCACTGAGTCAAAACTGCTCCCCAGAGAGCATTAGTGAAAGCTGCAGCCCGTGGACAGAAACAGGCGGGAAGGAGATGGGATGCATGTGCAGGGCAGGCATAACCCTACCTCTGGATTTCTGGCACTGTCATCTTCTCAAACTTCTCGAATTCATCCTCAGTGTAGAGCCGGTAGCAGATGCCACTGTCCTCTCGGCCAGCCCTCCCAGTTCGCTGCCAGGCCTGGGTCTTTGACACTCGCTGTACAGCTAGGACCTCAAGACCACTGTCTGATGGGAGAAAGGGCCATGAGTGCTTCTCTTTATCACATAAACAATCTGTTTCTAGAGTGCTGGCAAAAAGAAATGATGCTGAGTACCACTGAGTGTTTCTGCAACACAGGGGTCTGGGAAAACTCAAGGGTAAACAAGAAAACACAAACCTAGGCTGCTCAGTCACTTTAAACTGCACAGTAAAATTGCCTAGCAATGAGTCATGTGTGAAATGTTATGAAAAACACCACAAAACCCTCTGCAAGCAAGGTTTCAGAAGTTTGGGGTTACTTCATGGAAAGGCCAAGTACCCCAGCTGCTGGCACTGAGGGATTCTTGGGGATTTTGGTGCCAAGAGAGTTTCTACCTAACTGGGAAGGCCAATCATATATCAACCAATGATGACAGGGCCTTTGTCCTTCCCAGTTCTATAAGAAAACAGATCATGTGATACCCCCCCCCCCCCGCCGGAAGTAAAAGCCATTAATTCTCTCAAGTACAGGAATATTTTGTGCCAAGCACTAGAGACCCACACTTTGTTACCAGAAAATATGTGTGAAAAACAACCCCTCCAGTGCTTAGTAGAACATGCCAACTAAATATTGGGAAGCATTATTAAGTGTAGTGGTCTCAAATCCTCTGTAGAGTAAAGCAAAGTATGAATCAAGAATGAGTAAAACCAACTTCAAGGCAGTTTAACAATTTTAAGAGATAGCCAGTGTTTCCTTATAGGCTTGCTGGGAACCCTGCCCAGCCAGGGCCCCTCTCCTTGTGGGTAACCCTGAAAATCCAGATATCCACACTCTGGTAGCCCTTTGGAGAACCTGCCACTGGCACCAGGCTGTCCCTGGCCTTCTTGCCATTATTAGCACCCAGCTTCCAGTGGACTCTCAGACCTTAGTCCAGACTCTCATTTGTCCTTCCTAGGTACTCTGCAACCAAGCTCTTCTCTCTCTTGACTTCCTGCCTCAGGTCTTTTTTACGGACATGACTTGAACTGTCCCTGTCACTCAAATCTCAGGCCCTCACAAACATGAAATGTTTACGTGGGAGGAAATGGTGGGTCTCAGTTTTAACCATTGCTCGCTATACACAGGAGACATCCATGAGCTACAGTTTCTCACCAGGGTTATACTTCTTTGCTTTAACCATGCCCGTGTCAACTACATATTTTATTCCTGTAATGGTTATGGAGGTTTCAGCGATGTTGGTTGAAATGATCACTTTGCGATAGCCCTAAAAGGAGGAAGAAAACCAAAAAGCCGTATGACACACACATGATTCAGAAGTTGAAAACATTCTAACCATGCATTTCCACAACTTGCTTATGATCAAGAAAGGATGACTTCATTATCCAATTCCAGTCATTATACTTGATAAGGGACAAAGAGGAAAGGAGGACACTGCTCCTTTCACTGAGGTCCTGAAGACGAGCTCGAGGTGATGAGATGCAGTCGAACGAGATCTGAAGCGGGTAGACAGATGGGAGTTGGAATCCTGGCCCTGCCAGGATCTTGCTGCGTGTGCCTTAAGCAATTCCCACCTCCGTTCTTGGGTGCCTCAGGATCCCTCATGGAATCCCATGATGAGAGATATCTATGTGAGTGTCAGCACAGCGTCTGGCACACAACCAGTGGTGCATGGGCAATGTGGTTTATGCCAGCCTCAGAGGAGCCATTCATTTACCTTTGTGCTCTCCCTCACCTCTCCTCCCAGGACAGCTCTCCCTGCAGCTGTGTACTCTACGCCTGCCCCTCCCAGTAGCTGACCTGCTACCTGAGCATCTCTCCTTCCAACTCTGGGTCACGGTGACAGGCACACAGCCCTGATGGTAGATCTGATTTGACACCCAGCGGCGTGGCTGGCAGAAGGGTGGCATACTCACCTTTGGGGCCCCTTGAAAGACTCGCAGCTGCTGAGAGTAGGGCAGGGAGGCGTACAGAGGAAGGACGAGCATTGCGGGGCAGCCGTCAGGGAGGTGCTTTGCAATGTCTCGGCAGGTCTTGCTCATTGCTTCGATCTCCTCCTGACCAGTAAGGAACACCAGGATGTCTTGAGACGAAGGGGCTTCCTGAGGAAGAGAGAGTACTGATGATGGTGATGTCCCAAGAGGGTTTTAATTTTCTGTTTCAGTTTTTAATTATGAAGAAGAAACAAGCCTGGCAGTGTTACTGCCCTGGGAGAAGATCCTTATTAGCAACGCACAGGGTGTTAACACGAGTCAGCCAACTATGTTCTGAAACCAGGTAAGGAAGTTTTGAAGGGAAACTGACATACTGCTTTTGTTAAGACAACACAATGAAAGCACAATGAGAGGTAAGGAAAATCTGTATAAAATGTCTTTAGATGGCTTAGTGGGAAAAGGTACTTGTTGCCAAGGCTGCCAGCATGAATTCAATTGCCAGGACCCACAAGGAGGAAAGAAGTAAGACTCCTTTAGGTTGTTCTCTGACCTCCTCACAGGCACTGTGACTTGAGTACACTCTCCCCCACACACATACAATAAATAAATAAGTGCAAAAATAATTTTTAAGAACTCTTTTCTTTTTCTTCTTTTTTGGTTTTTCAAGACAGGGTTTCTCTGTATTGTTTTGGAGCTTGTCCTGGAACTCGCTTGGTAGACCAAGCTGGTCTGGAACTCACAGAGATCCGCCTGCCTCTGCCTCCCGAGTGCAGGGACTAAAGGCGTGTGCCACCAATGCCCGGCTTTTTTTGTCTTGTAAGTATGGTGTGTGCATGGTGCCTGTGCTCACAAGTGGTCAGAGGAAGATGTCAGGTGTCTGCCTGCCTGAGGCAGGGTCTCTCACTGAACTGGAAGCTTGCTGTGAGCCGGCTCAGGGGTAAAGGCATTTGCCATGCAAGCCTTGTCACTTGAATTTGAGCTCAGGGATCCATGCAAAAGTGGAAATAAAGAAGCAACTTCACAAAGTCATCCTTTGGCCTCTATGCGTGCTCTGCCCCTCCCCCAACACACATCAAGCACACACATCCACACACACACCCTCTACCCCCAAAATATAATTTTTAAATAAAATTAAATAAAAAATTTCTCATGTGAATTTTGGCAGTTAAGAGACAGACTGGCTTTCTTCTCTTTCAAACATTACCAAATTGACAATAAAAACCACTGTTTCCATCCTCTAGAAGAAAAAAAATCACTGCCCACAAATGACAAGACAATGGGAGATAAGAGGGTTCAAGTCATTTTGAAAGGTGGAAGGCATGGGGGAGAAGGCTGGTTAGGGGATACCTACTGAGGAGAACAGTGACAAGAAATGTGTGTGGAGGGAGGATGGCTCGGTGGCGGAGCACTGGTCTCGCATGGGCGAGGTATAGGAGAACAGTGAGAGGACTTCAAGCAAAGAACCTGCTCCAACTGGACGGCATCACGAAGACCGAGAGACAGACTGCACACACCATTCCATGACTGCCACACGAGACACAGTGGAAAATGTCTACACTGAAGGCCTACACAAACTGTTCAGGAGACCAGGATAGGGACAGAGAGACTGAGAGACAGACTGCACACACCATTCCATGACTGCCACACAAGACACAGTGGAAAATGTCTACACTGAAGGCCTACACAAACTGTTCAGGAGACTAGGATAGGGACAGAGGGTTACTAAAGACGTAGGCTACTAATATCATAATCACTGGGGCTGGATTTAAAGGATGGAGAACACAGGAAGGTATAGAAAGTAGTAAGTCTTTTTTTTTTCCCCCGGAGACAGGGTTTCTCTGTGGCTTTGGAGGCTGTCCTAGAACTCGCCCTTGTAGATCAGGCTAGCCTCGAACTCACAGAGATCTGCTTGCCTCTGCCTCCTGAGTGCTGAGATTAAAGGCGTGTGCTACCAACGCCGGCTGAAGGTAGTAAAGTCTTAACCCTGGCCTACTATTTTAAGAAATAAGCATATAATGGCGAATGATGATAAATCAAGAAACAATAACATAAGCAGGGTATTTTAAAATTCAAAAGCAGCTTTCATAGCAACTGCTGAGGTTCTCTATGGTCTCACTCCTGGTTGGCCTAGAGCTCAGTATGCAGACCACTTTACCTGCAAAGCATCTCACTGGCCACCAACGAGCCATCCCTGATGGCACAGCCCACAAGCTCTCAGATGCAGGGCTTTTCCTTCAGAGGCTAACTGTAAGGTGGGAAGAATGTGCTGCCACTGCTGACCCTTTGCATACCTGGTGGATCTGGAAGACCGAGACAAGCGCTGCGTGCAGGTAATCCTGCTGAGGCTGCTTGGTGTAGAAAATCTGGATGGGATGCTGCCGACCTTCAAGGTAGAGGACAGGGGCTCCATTGAAATACTGAGAAAACAGGTCAACATCCATGGTAGCCGACATCACAATCACCTACAGAAAACAACGAGGAGGATGGGAAATAAACGTTGAACAGCATTTCTGTAAAGCAGATAGCTGAGGCCCGGGCCCCTCCCACCACGGTTAACTTCCTCCCATGAACCTGAAGCAGAATGGGCAGGACAACACCCCCAACAGAAAGAAAGACCCAGTCCTTAAACACTCCCACATACTTTGAGAGGCAGTTTCCCTAGCTCCTTTCGCCTCTTCTGCGCTGCCTTCACCACCCCAAAGAGCACATCTGTGTGGATAGTCCGCTCGTGGGCCTCATCCAAAATGACACAGCTGTACTTTCGAAGCAAGGAGTCTGAAATTGCTTCTCGAAGAAGCATGCCATCTGTAAGGAACTTGATCCTGGTGTCTTCCGAAGTGACATCCTCAAAGCGCACAGTATAGCCAACCTGAGAGAAAATATGACTCTTTCATTCATTCAACATTTATTGAGCACCATTGATGGTATATACACCACTGTCCTCAGCACTGTGGTATCACAGTAAACAACGTCACTTGGTCTATAGGTCTACACTGTAAGTTCCATGCTAGCCAGGACTACAAGTGAGGTCCTGTTTCAAAAAACTCAAAGCAAACCAACAAACAAAAAATGATATGTCTTAAAGTCTTAAACTTGTAAACTAGGTGTAAAGGGTCCAATTCAGTGGCAGGGCACCTGCCTAGTATTGTCAAGTCTCCAACTCCTCTCAGTGAGAAAACATCTGATTTACTCAACTTGCTCAGCATACAGGAGGCTAAAACAGGAGGATTGAGAATTCGAGTACCAGGCCAGTTTGTGCTACATACTGGAGAACCCAAGGCAACCTATAATGGGAGAGGGAGGTGAAGGGTTGGTGCTTCTTAGTAAATAAAGCAGTGAGGTACCAGCTTCCCGAGTTCAGTCCTCTTCTCATCGGAGACTCTAGTAGCAAGCGAGATGGCGGCCACTCGACGGGGCTGGGTCACAGCAATGATGCCCTGGCGGCTAATTCCCCCTTCATAGAGGTACTGTGGGATCTGAGTCGTCTTCCCAGAGCCAGTTTCCCCTAGGAGAGAAAAGAAACTCTTATTCAAACGGGACTAAGATAAACTCACCAAGTAAAAAGCTTCAAGTCAGGAAAAACAAAACAAAAACACAGAAGAAAATAATGAGCTGCTAAGCCTCAGGCAAATGGGCACCCAGGTATCCTGCTGGAGAACAGGCACTGCTAATGTTTCCCAAGAGGCCCAATTACACTTCAAAAACCTTTACAATGGGTTGGGCATGGTGACACAGCCTTAATTACAGCAGGTAGAGGCAGGAGGAGCTTTTTGAATTCTAGACCAGCCTTGTTTGTCTACATAGTCAGTTCCAGGACAGCCATGCTATGTAATAGAAAGACTGTCAAACAAACAAACAACAAAAACAAACAACAAAATAAATAATAAAAACACCCTAAACTTCTAGGATATTTATATGGTTTGGCTCACAATTCCACTTGCAGAAATTGAGTTTAAGAAAACAAAGATGTAGAGGCAGGTAGATCTCAGTGAGTTTGAGGCCAGTCTAGTCTACAAAGTGAGTTTCAGGACAGCCAGGACTGTTACACAGAGAAACCCTGTCTTAAACAAACAAAAGGAAAAAAAAAAAACCAAAGATTTTTTTTCAATTTGTCCCATGATGGCAAAAATACCAGAAACATATATAATAGTAAGTGTGGTGGTTTGAATAGGCACGGCCTCCACAGACTTGTGTTTGAATGTTTGGCCCATATGGGGTAGCACTATTAGGAGGTGTGGCCTTGAAGGAAGTGTGTCTCTGTGGAGGGAGGCTTTGAGGTCTCAAGCCACACCTAGTGTAGCACACAGTCTCCTGCTGCCCGTGGATCAAGATGCAGAACTCTCAGCTCCTATTCCAGCATGTCCTGCCATGATGATAATGGACTAACCTCTGAACTGTAAGTCAGCCTCCATTAAATGTTTTCCTTTATAAGAGTTGCTATGAGCTGGGCTGTGGTGGCACACACCTTTATTCCCAGCACTCAGGAGGCAGAGACAGGTGGATCTCTGTGAGTTCGAGGCCAGCCTGGTCTACAGAGAGAGTTCCAGGACAGCCTCCAAAACAATACAAGAAACCCTGTCTTGAAAAACCAAAAAAAAAAAGAGTTGCTATGGTGATGGTGTCTCTTCACAGCAATAGAAACCCTAAGATAGTAGGCAACTGGTATAGTTACAACAAAAATCAAATATGACAGCCATGTAGATTGATATGCACTGATATGATGAGATGTCTATTCATACACTGCTGCCTTTCTCTGGCTGCTGCTTGCTGCTCTCGTCAAACCTTTGCCTACACTATTGTGGGTCCAGTACCTGCCTGCCTTTGTGCTAACTGGCAAATTACAGGAGGAATCAGGCAGCAAATTCTTTGCCTCAAGGCTGTACTAGTGGCCCTCATCTCTGGAATCCTTAGTACCTGTTAATCTCTCTTCGAGCACAGCTCATTCCCAACAGTGCAGAAAGTTTCTGCCCTCATCTAATACCAGGGGGCAGAGTTCTCCTCATTGGCTTGAGCACCTGCATAGAGTAAGCACACAGCGAGGGTGGACTCCTACCTCTGTTGGTGCCTCAAACAGCACCTGATTAGAACTCAGGAAGCCTGCACATGCTTCTTTGCTACCCCTTGTCCTCTTTAATGGAAGTCCTCCAGTCCCTCACTGAGTCTTGCACTTTCTCCCAGCTGCCTCTGACTGCTCACCTTTCCTGACTTAGACAAGAATCTCAGACTAAGAATTTGATTATCTTGCAGTTTCCTGCTGCATCCTCCACATGACCTCAGACTTGGCTCAATGTCTCTTGTGCATCTTTCCCACTCCTATTCCAAGGCAACTGACTACTGCGAAAATAAAATATGCCAACCATGCAGGTGTAGGGCAGCATGCTCCTGGGCACCAGCTCTACTGTCCATCACCTTGTTTCTGTTTTTGCAGCCTGTTTTCTGTCTCCATGGGGGGCGGGGTGCTGCTACTTGAGGCCCTGGGACTCTTGCTCTCTCTCATCAGGACTCCTGCATCTGTCTCAAATGAAGTCCTCAAATGAGGTTCCCTCTACTCCCTGCCACAAGTGCCTGCACCGCTTTGCCTCCTTGCGAGACGGCCTTTCTCCTGGGCCAGGTGGTCTCTCCTTAGCTCTTGTTGCCAGGCCCCTGGCATTCCTGACCTCTGCTCTATGCTATCTTGAGTGCCTCCCTCTCTGCTCAGTTCACCAAACCCCCGCAAATACTTGTAAGTGCCTCAGCTGCTCTCATTTAGCCAAAACAGAAACCTGTTCCTACTGCTGGGATGTATAAACTGTAAAGGAAAAAAGAAAGAAGAGAGAGAGAATCCTGAAGGAGTGTGTGTACGTGTGCCCTTTCCCCCTTTTTGCCGGTCCCACAGAATTAAGTTTTGCCTCGCTCGCTGGCCCCAGAGAATTAAATTTTACTCCCTCAGACAAAAAAAGGAATGAGTGATCAGTTGTCATCTCCACGCCCCGCCTTCAGCTCCTGAGCTGCTGAAAAAGCTGGTCTTTCCGGCAGCCCGACTTCACGGATGCCTCTATTCACTGCCCCCTTAGAACGCTAGTCCACCGACTGCCAGCACTCGCCGGAACCTTCCTCGCTTCCGACATTCCTTCCGGAGCTCCTCTTTCTTAAACACTGTGTACCAAAGGCCCTTGAGATCAGTCCCTGCCCTCGAACTCTCCCGAGCTCTTCAGTACACAAGAAAACTGGTTCCCGTTAACCCAGCTGTTTCTGACCGCCGGTCCCCAGAGACCCGCTTCGCAGCTGCCTCCTCAAAGCCAGAGGCTCCCATATGCACCCACAGTCCGTCACCGAAAGTGAGTCTTTAGCTCCACACACGCCGGTTACTCGCACGGGCCAGTCAGCGCCAACAGGATAACTCTGTCCGCCTCTTTCCCGAGGTCTCTGGCCAGGTCTGACACAGAAAACCTCTCAAATTTGTTAAAGAAACCAACGCCAAGGGAGTGAGAAGTCTTACTTAAGAAAAACTGCCCTCGCAAAGCCAGGAATCTACAGCAAGGAAGGTCCCGCCAAAGTGGCTACTCACCGATGAGGACCGCACTGTCCAGGTTTCGGAGCTGGGCCAATAGCTGCCCCCGCGCCCGGAAGATGGGCAGATTCCGGCGCTGCAGCTCCAGGGCCTCGCGGTAGGGACTGGCCGACGGCTGGGCCAGCGGCGGCGTCTGCCTCCGGCTTCCTCCTGCTCCGCCGCCGCCGCCAGCCGTCAACAGCATCACCACTCGCTTCCCGGGAGGGCAGGAGCCCGGCCGGAATCTCTTGGCCGGCGGGAGGCCCGCCTCCTCCGGCATGTCGGGGGACCGCCGCTCCGCTGGGGACAGCAAGCGTGCACCGCCCCTTTCTCGGCACGTGCTGGCGTGCCTGGGCGACGACCGATGACCTCACAGCCTTCCGGACTTTAGGAAAGGAACTCCAATTCCCGACATGCATTGTGGGTTTGGGTAGCATTTACATCCTGTGACAGCAAGGCGGAGGGTGCAACCTAAAAAACTGGCCGAGTAACAACAGGGAACGATAGCTACGTGGTTCCTTAGGCCGTTGTTGGACAACGACGTTGTTCTCTTGGACTCTCGTTATAACAAAGCTATTTCTTTCCAATAAAAATGAGAGTTCCATCTCGGTCTCAAACGATTGTCACATTTTAAGGAAATTACTTAATTCTGTAAAATCAACGAGGATGATAAACATTTAATCTTCTAAACGATGCATGTTTTAAGGTACCTACTGATATCTCAGATTTACAAATGTAAAAAATTAATTTTCTGAGATTAAGGTCATTCTGATGCTGCAAGGAATTTTGAAAATGTTACTAGTGAGTATCTTAAATTACAGAAAAGTGATCAATGATTCTGATAGCATGTATTTTCCTCACAAATGATAGGCTCAAGTAATACAAGAAGAGGAAAAAAGGAAATTGTCTTTAACTTATCTCCTAGCAATTAATCCCTTACCTGATTCTCAAATTCTTTACACAGCCTGCCAGTCCTATTGTACAATGGGATTTCTTATTACTCTCACAAAAAGCTTGCATCTGACCAGTTCTTCAGTCCCGTTCTAAATACAGGTTCTTTAAGATGTTTTACTTACATGTATGTTTGCATGCAATACTCACAAGGGCCAGAAGAGGGTGTTGGATCCCCTGGAATTGGAGTTAAAGGCAGTTGTGAGCCTCCTTTGAGTGCTTGGAACTCAGGTCCCCTAAAAGAGTCAGTTCTTCAGCTGGGTTTGTTTTTTCTTATAGGGAATGTGACCTCCAGTGAATAAACTATAACTCTCCACTCATGTAAAGGGTACCCATCAAATTTAGTATGTGGAGCTGCTTTTTAACCCCCCCCCCCTCAAGGGACTGGAGAGATGGCTCAGTGGTTAAGAACATTGACAGCTCTTCCAGAGGACCAGGGTTCAACTCCTAGCACCCACATGGCAGCTCACAACTGTCTGTGACTCTTAAGATCTGACACCCTGACACAGGCATGCATGCAGGCCAAACACCAATGGTAGTACAATTAAAGAAAAAGTTTAGCTTCCAGACATGGACTTTTCCTAGTCTGTTGTGGAATCTGGCGTGGCCTGTGGCCTTGGTCCTACTGAGAATGTCTGGGTCCCCATGAAACCCTCTACACCCAGGTTTACCAGAAAATTTGGGTAGGAATGGGGTTAGTGATCATCCTTTTTTAAAATCAGAAGTGCTGAAAAGAGGAGTGAAACTTTGAGAGGCTGCAGTCCTGCCCCTGCCCACAGCCATCACTAACCAATGGGAACATCGATGTATACTTATCTAAATGCCATTTACAATACAGCCTTAATCTGAGTAGCAAAAAACCAAACCAAAGCAAAACAAAAAACAGACATAATTTTGATCTAGCTTCTGACAGTATAATTAGGTGCTACTAAAATATCCATGTTGAGTGTATTTAGGACGCAGGCTGAGAATACATTGACTTGGGGCTGGTGACAGGGCTCAAAGTTAAGAACGCATACCGCTCTTTCAGAGGACCCAAGTTTGTTTCCTAACATCCATGTCACGTTGCTCACAATCACCTGGAACTCTAGCTCCAGGAGATACTAAACTTCTAGCCTCTAAGGGCACTTGAACTTTTGTGCATATAGTTTATACAAAGACACATATAAAGACCTATAATTTTAAATTATATAAAATAACAAAAATAAATCTTAGAAAAAATAAGTTGCCTTATATCCACCCTCCCATGTTGATTTAGGAAGGCAAGCAATCCCTTACAAAGAAAAATAACTTACATTAAGCTACGGACCTTGAGTAAATAAAAGGCAAACACCAGTCCTTTCTTGGCACACATTCCAAGCAACCTAATATGGGAGTCTTACAGTCCTAAATGATTACAATAATCCAAATAGGTCGTAGTGAAACACTTGGTAGGTAAAACACCTCTTTTAAAAACTTTACACATTTATTGATTGTGTGTGCATGTCAGGGAGAGGAGAGGAGAGGGGAGAGAGAGAGAGAGAGAGAGAGAGAGAGAGAGAGAGAGAGAGAGAGAGAGAGAGAGAGAGAGAGAGAGAGAGAGAGATCAGAGGACAACTTATGTCAGTTGCTCCTCTCCTTCCACCATGGGGCACCTGGGAAATGTACTCAGGTTTTCAGACTTGGTGGTAAGGGCCATTACCTCTGGAACCATCCCACCAGCCATAACCACAGCACACACACACACACACACACACACACACACACACACACACTCTCTCTCTCTCTCTCTCTCTCTCTCTCTCTCTCTCTCTCTCTCTCTCTCTCTCTCTCTCTCTCTCTCCCCTTCTTTAGGAGCATCCACTAATCAAAGCAATAGTTATCATGCAAGCCCTATTTTTTGAATACAAACAAAACAAAAAATTGGTATGGTTTTAAAATATTGGCTCAATTTTCTTTCTTTTTTTTTTTTTTTGTTTTTTGTTTTTTTGTTTGTTTTTTTTTTTTTTTGAGACAGGGTTTCTCTGTATTGATTTGGAGGCTGTCCTGGAACTCGCTCTGTAGACCATGCTAGCCTCAAACTCACAGAGATCCGCCTGCCTCTGCCTCCCGAGTGCTGGGATTAAAGGCAAAATGTAACATTTCTATAAGGAACTCATTCCTAGTAACCCATTTATTCAGTAGCCTCAATGATAAAATAATCAGAGTTGCAAACGTTAATCCTTTATTACATAAACCATGTTATCCACATGTCCTTCAGTGGCAATCTGAGTCTGGTGCCCCTCCAAAACAAAAATCTCCTGTGGTTCAGTGGCTTTCACATCCAGAAGCTAGCACACTAAGCATTCAAAAGAATATCCTGATCTTTCCTCTAGAAGACACATTCCATTCTTATCTGACTCCCTGAACTAACTGTGACTATACCAGCTTATGGTCACCTTGGCTCGCAGGGCCACCAAATCAATGATTGCCCTGATGATGTTCAACTTTGTTCCGTCCTGTTTCAAGAAGCAATCTTAAATCTCAGCAACTAAGTACAAGTTCACATACATACATATTAATCCTCTCATAATTAAAAATACAAGATAATAGTTTGCTGATCAACGAACAAAGTATTTATTCAGCACCCATGTGCCAAGCACAGTGCTAGGCACTGTGGTGGATACAAAAATTAAGACATAGTCCCTGCCCTTAAGGAGCTTACATTCTCATGAAGGAAACAAAACTAACATACATGTAGCAGCTAGGAACAGTACAAGACAATATATGGTTTGGTATAAGAATTTTAGTACAGATTTGAAGCTTCATGAGGATTTAAAGAAGAAAATGAACTAGACTTTAGATTAAGATTTGAATGTTGAGTCTTGAAAGACTGAAGAGACTTAAATTGAGTCTCTGCTAGGTAGAAGTGGGAGCAACCTTCAGAGGAAGACAGAAATATGCATTTGATAAGGGCTAGGAACTGACTGCAGACTTTTGTGCAGAGTCGCTCAACCATAGAAGCAAAGTTCAAGAGCTTTGATGAAAACTCAAAATAATAAGTAGCTTAGTCATCCTGAAGAGGAGCAAAGGGCAGGACATTGGCTAACATAGATAGAACTCACCTGTCAAAGGAAAACACGGCCACAAAATAAAACAGTGGCAGAAGGCATGGCATTTCTAGGAAGCATGTTACACAACATGCCAACAGCTCCAATGTTTCCTAATTCCCAGAGGACCCCAGAGACAGTGTTATGGTTCCATTTCAAGATCCAGGATGTGGATATTTTGCCTCACACAAGTACAAAAGAAATATAAAAGACACGAGGACACAGAAGGATGACAGAAAAAGAAGTGGAAGAAACAAGTAGAAATTCATAGTGAAAAAAACACACCAAAGTATATAAAATGTATCTCCTAGGGAGATGCAATTGGCATGTCCATTCATCTTTAAATGAACATATATTGTTAATTCTATAACAACAAAACAGAACCCCTATGCTTTAGGTGTGCTTTTTGGCTATATCTGGTACAGTCCAGGAAATGCCTTAAAACTATATTCATGTACGCTTAATCGGTCTCAGAATCCCATAGTCCAATCTCACTTTTCTGTTGACTCATTTTTCAAAAAGGAAGTATGTTTGGAAGAATCAGAATCAAGAGGTTTCCTGGGGAAAATGAGGACTTTTCCTCGTATCCACGTAAGCACAGAGATCCTGTCAAACTACACAGGGGCAGGGACACAAATGTGGGATTGGCCAAACTACTAAGAGGCCAAGTGGCTGAAACTGGCATTCCCAGGGAGCACAGCATGGTATTTTGCCACTAGGAATTGACATCCTAAACACCAGAGACTGCTTTAGACTATGCATCCAAAATGCATTTCCTGTTTTACCCAGTCATTAATATGCACAGGTATTCGATACTTAAAATGCATTTCTTGTTTATCCAGTCAGTAATATGTACAGGTATTCATTACTTAAAATGAATGGCTGGTGAAGAGATTTTAGAATTAAATCTTTACCACAAAAATTCCACTAAGTAGCTACATCTAAAATTAACTCCAGGACAATAAATAAAATCTAAAGAAACTCATTTCTGGCTCAAAATCAAGCAATAATAAAAATAAATTCCTAAAAATTACCAAGAAGGCTGTCTTGAACAGAAACAATGATTAAACTTAAAAATTCCATGAGGTTCATACAATCTGAGATTGTCATTAAACTTAAAATATTTTTAAACAAGAGAAAAGCAACCCTGTTAAAACATATTCCATAAAATCCTCTTCAGTTAGTTATTAGCAACATGTAACATGCCAGTACTCATTTCATTGCCTATGCACATTCCACTCAGTTGTTAAGATGCTTTCCACCTCAAATGTTTACTACAGCTCATGTACGCCTATGTCAAGCTCTGAGAAAGCTCATTCTGGAAAGCAACTCAGCCAAAATAGGGCGATCCAGTCTAGGGAGTCCTGTGCCTATCTGATGTTAATGAAAACTATCTGAGATCATCTTTCTCGGTTCTGAGAAAGCAGCACAAATATGAAACAAGATGTAATATCTTTGACAAGCATTCACTGAACCATCAGTGTGGCTGCTTCCAAATACCCGAATTTCTACCTGAAATTCCAGGAAGGTGAACCAGGCACTTGGCTCAGCAAAGGTTTTGAGCTCTTCTTAAAATGAATGACAAGAGGAACACATGCCCAACTGCTGCCCATTCATATGCCACAAAGGGTGACCACTACTAATTCAGGCATTTCTTAGTGGAGAAGTTCCAGCTACAAGAGATGTCACAGTTGCTTTTTGTTTGCAGCTGATTCACATACAGATTCCTCTGCTACAAGAAATCACCCTCCCTCCTCTCTTCTGTGGTTTTTCAGACAGGGAAACATCTGAATGGCAGAAACCAATTTTTCTCCTACTGAGGCTACCACTTTGAACTAGTCAGAGTACGTAACAGCTGTGTATTTCCAATCTTGAAATCAAATCCAGTCGAAAGCAGTGGAGACATGAGGGCAGACATGGAAACCGCTGTGTTCAGATCTACGCAGGAGAGCTAGAACACATTACCATGATTTAAAAGATCACACGAAGCTTAAATACAGTGTGAGAGAGATGGAATTCAGTTTTATTTTGTCCTCTCTGAAACTTCCATTTACACCACGGCCTTGTCTATCAAAGAAGAGGAGGAAACATCCTGCCTTACGCCACAGAGCTCAAGTACCCATGTACTTGTCAGAGGCGGCAGGGTATCTGTTTCTCTGTTTTTTGGCTCCAAGAGGTTATACTTTTAGTACCAGCATAGTGAGGAACCCCTGGCAAACTGCTGGAAATGTCTTCTGTGTTAGTCAGTGTACCATTCCGTAAAGTGCTTCTGGAGTTAAAATCTGTCACGCTGTCAAAAGTGTCCACACTTTTGCAACAAGGGATAAAAGAATCCCAATAGGCATTTCACTGAGTCTTTCTCAGATGGGCCTCATAACTGGCACTGCTGCGTTACCCTCCAAGGCGCTGGCCCTCACCCCAGGCGAAGCCTCCTGGTCGCTCTTCAGGTAGTGGGTTGTAATTGGGATCCTCATCTGGTGTATCAAAAATAGTCCTCCTAAAACACACAGAACCGTTCAGTGCCAAAGTCATCTCAGATCGAAAATACTAGAAAGCAGTTTATTCCCACAGGGCTTCTACAGAGAAGCGTCACCTCTGCCTGCCAACTAAAGAGCTATTACACCTTAAAGGCTCCACAGTTACTTAACATTTACATTAACTTACCTCCTTTACTAATTTTTACTACAGAAGCAATAAATGCTGACAAAGTATCTGGAATAGTCAAACCCACAGGCATAGTCAGAATGGTGGTTGCTGGATGACAGGAATAGGGAATCACTCAATGAGCAGGTTTTAGGATTACAAGACAAAAACATTCTAAGGATAGTGGCCATCGTAGCACAACACAAGTGCTCTTTAACACCACTGCACGGCTCATTTAAAAATGGTTAATAGAATTAATTTTGTGTTGGGGTGTGCCGACTTAGTTTCAAGGACATTTATCACTCCAATTACAAAAGGAAAAGCAATAACATCTCAATAGTAAGGGAGTAACACAATTACGATATATATGAATCACAGAATATCATGTAGCTACTAAAATTCTGCAGGGCATTTATAATGGAAAAGTACCTCCCCACCCCCCTCCCAGACAGGATTTCTCTTGTGTAGTCCTAGCTTACTGGAACTGATTCTGTAGACCAGGCTGGCCTGGCCTTGAACTCAGAGATCCACCTGCTTCTGTCCTCCAAATGCTAGAATTGAAAGTGTGTGCCACCACACCCAGTTAGGGAAAGTAATTATTACAAATTAGAGTAAAAAATACATTTTAGCTGGGGGGGGGGCATGCTTTTAATCCTAGCACTCAGGAGGCTGGGGCAGGTGGATCTCCATGAATTCAAGTATACAAAGTGAATTTCAGGACACCAGGGCAACACAAAAACCCTGTCCCAAAAAACTAACCCCACCCCCTGCAAAAAAAACAAACCAAAACCAAACCAAAACCAAAACCAACAACAATAACAAAAAACGGATAGTCTGGAGAGATGGCTCAGAAATTAAGAGTACTTACTACTCTTGTAGAAGACCCAGGTTTGGTTTCCAGCACCCACATCAGGGAGTTTATAACCACTTGTAACTCCAGTTCCAGGAGACATTGTCCCTGGTCTCTGCAGGCACACACACCCATGTGTACAGTACACATAAAATGCAGGCATACAGCCTCATAAACACATTGATAAAATAAACCTTTAAAAGAAGCTAAAATAATGTACCTATTTTTTAAAAAGCATATACAGACAGTTACCCAATCCCATGTTCAGTCCTAAACACATCTTCATAAAAGCAACCCAAATGGGCCAAATAGGTAAATAGATTTTGTAAATGTCTCTATAATGACAATTTAAAAAGAGGTCATACATTGGATAGGGAGTAGGGATATACAGGAGTAGAAGGGGAGAAAGGGAGAAGTAGAAATGATGTATATATAGTAATCATGTAGGAAATGATCAAAAATGCTATGAAAGGCACATGACTACTTTACCAAAAGTCAGTCAAGGGAAACTGCTGAATGTAAGTAGAATTTCAGACAATTTTACTTCCTGTGGTGGTTTGAATACGTATGGCCTCCTTAGACTCATGCGTTTGAAAGTTAGGCCCATAGGGGGTGGTTCTATTAGGAGGTGTGGCCTTGTTGGAGGAAATGTGTCACTGTGGGGTGGGCTTTGGGATCTCCTATGTTCAAGCTATAACTACAGTGAGATAGACCAGTTCTTGTTGCCTGTGAGTCGAGATGTAGAACTCTTCCAGCACCATGTCTGCCTGCAGGCCACCATGTCCTACTACGTTTATAATGGTCTAAACCTCTGAAACTGTAAGCCAGCCCCAATTAAATGTTTTCCTTTATAAGAGTTGCTGTGGTCATGGTGTCTCTTCACAGCAATAGAAACCCTAATTAAGATAGTAAAGATACCCCTTCCTTATTTTTTTTAATTAAAAAACAATTCCTCTTGAAATGGATTCTTTGTATGTTACCTAGGCTGACATCAAATCTTGAATTCTTCTGCCTCAGCCTTCAGAGCAGATAGGATGACAGGCATATACTAGAAAAGTTCATTCTTCTCCTCCTCCTCCTTAAAGATGTATTTACTTCCCTTCTTTTTAGTTTTTTTTAAAGGTTTATTTATTTATGTATTTTATATATATATGTATTTTGTTTGCATGTACATCTGCAACCAAAAAAGGGCATCAGACCCATGGGATCACAGTTATAGATGGTTGTGAGCCACCATGTGGATGCTGGGACTTGAACTCAGGACCTCTGGAAAAGCAACCAGTGCTCTTAACTACTGAGCCATCTCTCCAGGCCCTTTATTTTCATTTTATGTCTGTGGTGTTTTGCCTGCATGTGTGTCTGTGCATCGAGTGCTTGCAGTGTCTGTAGAGGCCACACGATCACGTTGGATCCCATGGAACTGAAGTTATAAACAGTTGTTAGCAGCTATGTGGGCGTTGGGAATTGAATCTGGGTCTTCTTTCTAAAAGAACAGTTAGTGCTGCTAACCACTGAGCCATCTTCATTCTTTTTTTTTTGTTAACTATTCTACAACAGAGAATTTGTATCAAACCATTTTGTCATCTCAACAGAGCCTTTTTTATTTGCTTTTTAGACAGGGTTTCTTTGTTTCATTTTTAGACAGGGACCTAGCAAGTGCCCTGCCCCCCCCCATGTAATAGTTCCCAAGGACACAAAAATTTTAGCTCAAGAAACTGCAGAATAAAAATGAAGAGATGTGCTTCAAATCAGATTGCTTGGTGGTGGAATAGCTAGTCTGGCTTCAGCTCCAAAGCCTTTCCATTCTATTTCCCGGTGTGTCTCCACCACCTGCTTTGCCAGTCAGAACACCATCAGAAATGTCCTCTGAACTTTGTGGCTCATTCACTTTTCATTGACTTCTCTCAACTTGGGCATCAGCTTTCGTAAAGCAAGCAGGCTCCTTTCTGGGACCCAAGTTCTAGTGGTCACTCAGGACAATAATTGCAAAGTCACTCCCACAATGTCAAGAGCCCAGTAATCACAACCCTGGCCTAATCTGCTTCTGGCCAATCCAAGGGCTCCCCACTGCAGACACGTTGCTCAATCTGCAAACAGTGACATGAACTGCATGGATCAGGAGCTAAGGGAGTCCAAAATGAACCATGACCACGGTTTGTCTGCATGGAATGTGAAACATGGCGTTACCAAATACTCACAAAATAGAAGGTGTTTTCAGAATTCTTATTCCACCAGGCTGATTGGGAAATATATCTTCCAAGAAAAAATATATGTGCCCAACTGCAATACCTATAATCAACCAGAAATAAAGGATAAAAAGGAAGATTAAAATTTCAATTCTAAACCGGGTGTTGGTGGTGCACGCCTTTAATCTCAGCACTTGGGAGGCAGAGGCAGATGAATCTCTGTGAGTTTGAGGCCAGCCTGGTCTACAAAGCAAGTTCCAGGACAGCCTCCAAAACAATACAGAGAAACACTGTCTGGAAAAACAAAAACAAAAAACAAATCTCAATTTTAAGTTCCCTACCAACACAGGCTTTATTTAGGATAAGTATAATTATTGAAAATCAATGAACTAATATTATCTTTCAGATATAATTATTAAACAACCTTGCAATAGCTGTATATGAAGATTAAACAGAATAAACATGAAAGACAGTGACAAAATACATTTTCAGGTAAAAGAGCACAAAAAGCAATGATAAGATGCTTACCCAGAAGGTCCACAATAATTGAGTTCCCTAGTAACAAGGAAAACCCCATGAGCACCCAGGGCAGAAAGGGGGCCTGGAAGTTTAGAAGACCAAAGAAGTTCATTCGGACATATGGGTTCCTTCGGCTCCACACATACACCAGCATTATTGTAAAGGCCTGGCCTAAAAAAACTAAGCTCACAAACAAACCAAAAAGCTAGCAAATGGAATTAAGGAAAGTATCAACATGAAAGCATACTAGGTAAGGCTAAGTAAGAACTATAGATTGTCCTTTTGCTAAAATCTGAATTAGGAAAGCTAAGTAGTGAATGGCATTTTTAAACTATAAGAAGAAAAGTCTGAAATTAATTACCCAATGCAACTAGGGGAAAACTGGCTTGGGCTAAATTATCCAGATCATAGCTACTACAGACTAAATTTTTGCTTTTGTGATGCTCTTGCCTTTTTGGAAAACATTAATTCCTTTGTCAGTAAGTACAGTGAAGATCACTCCCACTGACGCCTTCACAGGTGCTGAAGCACACAGCACTAATCTAAGTCTGTTACACACAACAAAACCCTCCTCTTTTTAAACATATTCTATCAGTTTAAACAGTGACTTAACACACGTCTTACCAACTTAGTGAAAGCGAAGTCTCCCACCAACAGTGGTGTAACTGAGATCCTTCAGGACAACCCACCTGGGTTAAAAATTCCTGCTCGGTGGAGCCTCCTGTCCAACCTCTAGGCTTGGAAGCTGTCACAGTGAGCTGTGAAGTAAGTGGGAGCACCCTGAGGCTACAGTCTGGAGATCTACTTTTATCTGTTCAGGGTAGCTAGTGAATCACGGGAGACAGATGAAACGATTGCGGAATAGACAGTCTATTCTTTAATAGTTTCCTATATTCTGTTTGTTGAAGGATACAGTCATTAAAAATCCACCAAAAAGGAACATAAATACAAAGTCTGCTGTCCGACCTCGGAAAGAGCCTTCTTCTAGCATTCGACAGTAACGGTATCTTAAGTTTCAAGTTAAGAAAATATTCAGGGCACACATTAAAGATAAAATGCAATGAACCACTGAAACATACTTGAGCTTCATACTACATATCAAGCTGCATTTCTCTAAGAATGTTTAAGTAGTAATCTGGTTTCTTTTCTTCCCATCAAGCATTTTAGGCAACAACAAAACCAGCACCGTATTTTACAAAGCTGGTTCCTGGCTGGGGAACTAATTCAAACACTGCATGAACATGCTTCCAGTCACCATTACATCTCTTCCAGTTTGTACTATTGTCTTTCCCAGGTTCAAACACACATGAATTTGCACCATCCTTGGCTTGCCAATTTGGAAGAAATCCCTGCAAAGAAGCCTCGTATAGTCCATAAAAACTGTAACAAAAAACCTTTCATAAGGAACTTATCAGAATGATAGCCTATGCAGGAAACACAAAAACCACCCTAGGAGTTAAGTCCCAACACCCCTAAAGGCCCTCTGTCTCCTGCGGATGAGCTGCAGTGCTGGGTGCAAGAGGAGTGAGTAGCTGAGCACATCTAATCACCATCTGACTCTCTGATTACCACGGCTCTTCCTGTCTTCCAACCAACCTCCATGCCAAGTCCAGCAGACATTTTGGCACTCACTGTTTTTTCTTGCAATCATGGTCCCCACTCTCATTAAGCCATTCCAAACCCTGGGGAAAATCTGTTGAGTTACCAGTGTCTTGGGATGACTTACCATTGGGCCAGCTGATGCTGACATTATTTTATAAATATGCCTACAATAAACCACAGCTTAAGGACACTAATCTTTTAACAGTTGGAACCTCCTATGTAAACAAAAGAGCTACAAAGAGTTTCAAAGTATTACAACCTGATTACAAACTACAGACCCAGATGTCATAACTAAAATGTTCTAAAAAATAAACAAGAGTAATAGTTTCAGCTTACAATATACTAAGTGAACCTAAAGTTTTGATGTTGATTCCACTTAAAAGGATACAGAAAAATCATGTTAAACAAAAAATTGAATCCAACTGGACCAAAAAATAAGAAATTGGTGATTAGCCTCCATATCTGCAAGGGGGAGAGGGGCAAGAGAAAGGCACATTAAGTAAAATACATAACCAGGAAACATTTCTATAATAAAATAAAAGCAACATTCTACAATGCTGAGGCTCCAAAGTCCTAGTTGTCCATTCAAATGTGATACCCAACCTGATTCTGAATCTGATTCTGTGTGTGTGTGTGTGTGTGTGTGTGTGTGTCTGAACGCCTTTAATCCCAGCACTCGGGAAGCAGAGGCAGGCGGATCTCTGTGAGTTTGAGGCCAGCCTGGTCTACAGATCAAGTTCCAGGACAGCCTCCAAAACAATCTTGAAAAACCGGAAAAAAAAAAAGACCAAAATATATTAATTGGACTGTGAAATTTATATGGATGATAGGACAAAAAAATCAAAACCACAATTATCTTTTATAAAACAATACAAAAAAACCACACTATGTGGTTAAGCAAATCATGGAAGCTGTCTGAATAAAAAGCTAGGTTAGTTTGCAAAACAGAATATGTGTAGTCATTGTAAGGAGGAGTTTACAGGCAGTACAAACTTCAGGAACCCAGCATTTAAAGGTGCTGAGAAAAAGTTCCTATATTAGCCATATCATCCTGATGGAAAAATTCTCCAAAAATTAATGCTCCAAGAGTCAAGGAAAGACACAAGAGCAGTCTCACTTAGACAACCTACAACTACTCACAAAGTTTTATATCATTTATGTGATCTTAGTAATTTTGTAAGACAAAAAAGCTGATGTGACTGTTCTCACCTCACAGATAAGGAATCTTAAGACTTAAGGCATGCAGTGAGGTGGAGACTCTTGATAGCAAATCTAGAACTAATTCCAAACTTAATGCAAGAATTTAATCTTGGCCAGGGATGATTGCTCATGTCTATAATCCTAGTACTAAGGAGCCCAGGCAGGAGATCACTTGATATTGTTAAGTTCAAAAGTTGCCCAGGCTACATAAGAGACCCTATGGTTTTGTTGTTGTTTAAAAATATACATGGTGATGCACACCATGTGATCCTAGAAGGCTGAGGCAGGATGATACCACAAAACCATACCAGCCACAGCTACAAAACAAACTATCTCAAAAAATAAACAAAAAAACAAACCAAAGAACTTAACCCTAGGCAGTCACACCATGCAAGTCAGTAGGAAGCAATCCTAGGAAAGGCCACAGGAAAATACTTAGAAAAGACATTATTGGAGGGCTGACTGCTTTCATACACCATTAAACCCTCCATTACTGGCAACTATTTGCGACAATTAACGTTGACAGTCACCTATAAGACAAATTCTGGGCAGTCCCTCTGTAAGGGAGTTTCTAGACTCAGTCACTTGAGGTGGGAAGGAAAACACTAGCTGAGAGGGCAATTCCATGGGCTGGGGTCCCAGAACTACTAAAGAGGAGGAAGTGAACTGATCAATCTACTCTTGTCTGTTTCCTCACAAGAGGGCTGCAATGGGACCAACGGCCTTAAGCTCTACCAACTAACCGAGGGCCAGATAGTCAGGTATTCTATCACAGTAGTGAGAAAAGGAACCAGCACTCTGTTCACATGGAAACAATCCAGTTTTATGGGTTACCTGCACCTAAGAGTTCATAGAATCCTCATCCCAGTGAGGACACTGCACATAAAAACCCCCAAGTAAAGCTGGGTGGTGATAGACCATGCTTTCAATTCCAGCACTCAGGAAGCAGGCAGATCTCTGTGAGTTCAAGGCCAGCTTGGTCTAGAGAGCGAGTTCCAGGACAGTCAGGACTACACAGAGAAACCCCATATCAAGAAACCAAAATAAACCAACAAACAGCCCCAAGTAAGGGTGAGAGATGCTGATTTATCTGAGGGCACACAAAAGCTGCATCTTGAAGGGCAAGCTAGAGTTCAGCGGGTACAAAGGGAGTGTAATACATTTGGGACAGGGACCAGCATGAATAAAGCAGAATTACATCCTCCTGCTTGATCTGCTGGTGCCAGGCTCCACCCTTGGCGATTCAAATTTGGTATATGAAAAAGAGCTCACAAACAGCTAGCAGCTCTTAAGTGATTCTGGAGTCCAACCAGGCTGCAGAATTCCTTATTTACATCTCAGTAAGACATATAATCAGAGCTCATCCCCTACCCCTGGATTATTTCTGAGACTGTATCTGACAGGTTTTATTACTTACTAAACAATAAAGAAAAAAGGTAGTGGAAACATTAATCATAGTAGCCATAGACCACTTACTTGAAAGTGTTTAAAAATTAGTTCAGGATTGAAGTATAACTGAAAAGGTGTGATCAATTCCAACTGCTGAAATGGAAAAAGAGCTTCTTAAATCAGATCAATGGTAAAACAAAATTTCAGCGTTTACGACAAAGGGCCAGTAGCTCTAATAATTTCTGTTGTTACTTGGGAGTAAATTTCTGTCTTGCTTGTGATGGCTGGTAAGAGATTCTCTAGAATTCACACAACCGTTTTGTATCCTCAATACACAATGCAAGTTTGATGTTGCAATATTTGAGAGTGATATAAGGCAGGCAGGTGGGGATATTTTAGAGCAAGACAACAGCATCTTTTACATGTCGCGTGGTCAGTACCTGAAACAGCTGGGCGAGACAACTCCGAATAAGAGATTCGAGGCCCCACTACCATCAGGACTAGATACAAGTGGCCAGCTCTTATATCCACGGGCCGTCTTTTGAGAGATGTTTCCAGACCACTCGAGATTTATTTTTCCTTAATACAGAAGTCTGTAAACCTAGCGGACCTTGCTCCCACTAGTCACCTGGCCATAGCTGGGGCTGAGATACATATTTGGGTGGGCGGCTCCCGCAGCTCTGACTCGCTACAGGTCTGGATTTCATCTCTCGGTAACTGACCTGCCCCTTCATGGAGAGCACTTCCTTTTCAGGTCACTGGCTTGGCACCCTTGGGACTATCCCGAACCCTAGAGTCAGCTCCGGATGTCTCCACCCACCCCTGGGACCCAACCCTCTGGGCTTCTCTGCGGCCCAAACCCGTTTTCTGAAGACCCAGTCATAGCTAGCCTGAAAAAGGAGGACGTGGCGCCACAGCTGCTCACCACGGCCGCGGTGGTGAGGACGCAGGCGGTAGTGTAGGCACGGCTGACCGGCGGGATCTGCAGGTACTCCAGCCGGAGGCTCTGGTACGCCATCTTCCCCACCGCGCCTGCCCCCCTTCCCCTTCCGCCAGTATGCCAGGCGGCGGGGCGGACTCAAAGCCGGCCTCCAAGCCGTACCACCGCTGTCCAATCAGCGCCTGGCACCCGGCCAGCCACCAATCGCTGGCGCCTTGGGGACCGCTCACCCACCAATCACGAGTTGCGCTTCCGCGTCGGCCCATCCTTACTTCTCTGCCTACCAACGAAGAGAGAAAGTACCAGTTCCTTCCGCCAATCCCCGCCGGCCACAGCTAGCCTTCCCTCCTCGTCCCCTTCCTGTCACCAATCCGAGTGCCCCCTTTTGACGCTTGGGCCGGCCAATCAGGAGTGCGATCCATCCCGCCTTTGCGTTCGTTCGCGGAGGCACGTTTCAGTCGCTTCTGAGGAGTCGGTGCCGCCGCCTTCCTCCTGTCCTCTGTGCGGTTTGAAGGGAGTGGCGGGAAGCCGGCGTGTGGCGGACTCCATCACCCCGGGATCGCTTCGGTAGGGACGGTGTGTTCTCTGAGGAGGAGCGGAAAGGGCGGGCCTGGAGGAGCGCCGTGGCTTCAGGCGCGCCGCCGCGTTCTGCAGGGTATCCTTCACTCGGCCCGGCTGGGCCTGGAGACCTGGAGGTCCCGGCATGCAGTGCGGCCGCAGGGTGGGACGGGAGCCGGAGCTGCCGGAAGCGCCTCCGGCTCTGCGGTTTCTGGGCATTGTCTGTGGCGATCGAGGACTCCGTTACACTCGTCCTGATGGTGTGGGAACCTCCCATGTTTAACTTGAGCCGCAGGAGCTCTGTCTAGCAGAGAAGAGGTGGCTGATGAGTCAGTAACACTGAGGGGAGAGCGAAGGAGGTAGTGGCTGGTTCTTCGGGGATGTGTGTTCCAACTGGTTCTTGAAGAATCTCTGCTCGATGTGTGCCTACTTGAAGAAAAAAGAAAATAAAATTCGGTTGTGTTGGAGCAAAGGCAATCCTGGTCGTGGCAGAAGCGTTCGGCAAGTTAATAGAAGCATTAAAAAGGTGTGTGTGTGGGGAGTGTGACTGTCAAGTCTAGTAGGAACCGAGTGAAGACGGGAGAGAGTGACATTTAGAAGTCTGAACGCAGTGGTACCTGCCCGTGCCTCCTAGCCACTCCGGAGGCTGAAGCCAGAGGATTTGTTGAGTCCCGAAGTTTAGGGGAGATTGGGGGCAAACACAAGAGGAGTGGTCTCAGCTCGTTGGTAAAACTACAGTTTTATAGCTACCACCTTGCCGTAGCATTGCCAGTCTAACAGAGAAAAGGCGGAATTGGAGCTTTTCTCTGAACTGGAAGTTTGGATGTTAGAATTGGTGTGTCTGTAGTCTGTGTCTGTGCGTGGTGATGTGTGTGTGTGTGTGTGTGTGTGTGTGTGTGTGTGTGTGTGTGAATGGTACATCAATGCAGGCCTGTTGAGAACTTTGAGGCAGTTAGGATGCAAACCTAGAGAAATATAGTGTACAATTTGTGGGTAGGTTGACCCATCATTTGGTAATTTGTAACAGACATCCGTCTTACTTGGATAATGAAAATATAATCTTCTAGAAAAGGCATCCTAATATAAACACAGAGGTGGAAGGAGGTAGTTTCAGTGTCCATCCAGACAGCATGTGCGCCAGATGGTTTTAAGTGGGGCTGGGGATGTAGCAGTAGAGTGCAAACCTAGCTTGTAAAAGGGCCTGGACATAATGCTTAGCACTATAGGAAGGAAAAACAAGTTTGTGACTTTCAAATTAGCAAAAAGTTAAAGGTGTTGGCAGATAAAAGAAGTTCCAGACTACTACAAGTGAGTGTAAACCAGCTTAGATGTTCTGAGAATGTTTTGGCAGTATTTATTGACACTATATATGCAAATATCTGGCAAGTCCCTAAGAAGATACCACCTGAAGATCTCAGTACCACTCCCCTCTGCAATTAAGTCAGTTACTAGCAAACCTATTAGGTGATGCTCATTCTTTATCAACTCGAATCATCTGTTTCCTTGGGAGATGAATTAGTAGCTCCAACCTTCCTGGCAATTTAAATGAGAATTAAGAGCTGTTTTGAGACCCTATTTTGGAATACAAAGGATGTTTATCCTTCTATAGTAATGCTACAGACTCAAAACCAATTCTCTAGCCCATCAGTTATGAGCATAAAGAATATCCTGTAAAAAGAGACATTTAACGGCAGAAAGCTTTAAAAGGATAAATGCTACTAAAGTGTTTCATCCCTTAGTGGGACAATAAACACCCATGTCTCTTTCCCACTCTAATGATTTCTTCAACATGTTAGAGCAGTGATAAATGGTTTGGTCTCATTACAAAGTTAAGGTGAAGGCACAACTACACAACAAAAACAAAACAAAAAAGAATACAGACAGAAAGTGATCTGGGAGGAATCTGATATTCGAGGGTTAGGCAGGTAGGTGCATTTCTCAACAACAGACTGTATAGAGTTAGAAATTTGGGAATTATCCCAAAATAGATGAGTGTTGTTAAAAATCTGAGTAAGTGGGTTTTCTGCTATTGTACCTTCCCTGCCATGGGAGACTTCATTCCCAATAACTGCAATCTTAAACAGCCCCCCCCCCATACACACACACCGCTTCCCCGAGCTGCTCTTGCCAGGTAAGGAACACACCTGTCCTTTTCCGTCCAGCTTCTTCCAGTGGTGACATCTTACCCACACAGTGCAGTATCAAACTAAAAACCTGCCACGGCTACTCACCACCTCTGTGCTTCTGCCTGCTCTTTTATTCCTTGACAGCCAGAAGTATCATGACTAACAAAATGCTGTAACCTGTAAGGTTCAAGGGTCAAGAGTCTGGTGTGTATTCACACATGCTCCCCTTAAAAAAAATGTAGTCAGGTGGTGGTGGCATATGCCTTTAATCCTAGCATTCACACTTGGGAGACAGAAGCGGGTAGATCTCTTGAGTTCTAGGCCAGACTTGTCTACAGAGTGAGTTCCAAGACAGCCGGGGCTACACAGAGAAACCCTGTAAATCTTAAAATACAGTTTTCTAAAAGCAGTTATTGTGTGGGTATAGGCATGGCTCAACAGAAAAGACTCCATGCAACTTCATCCAGAGTTTGTGAGTTTGCATCCCAGCACCCATGCTTAGTGACTCACAACTCTGGTTCCAGCCAGTCCGACACACTCCCCTGGCCTACAAGGGCACCTGTGAGCACTGGCATATGCACACTTCACACACACACACACACACACACACACACACACACACACACACACACATAAATAGTAAGATTGTCTTTTAAAGTTATTGTACAAAGCTGAAAGAACTTAAGTCTTCTTAGGTGACCTGGTGACTGAATGAAAAGTGGTAAAACAAAGCCGGGCGTTGGTGGCGCACGCCTTTAATCCCAGCACTCGGGAGGCAGAGGCAGGCAGATCTCTGTGAGTTCGAGGCCAGCCTGGTCTACAAAGTGAGTTCCAGGACAGCCTCCAAAGCTACAGAGAAACCCTGTCTCGAAAAAAAAAAAAAACTGGTAAAACAAAAGACAAAATTGTAAAGTTGAGGTCTGATAAGGGAACTACCAAATAAGAATTAAAAGAGGAACAGTAATTTAAACTGTATCCCAGCAATATTAAAGGCTATTAATAACTTTAAGGTCATATCATATGGCATGTTTCTGACTTTGTTCCCAACATAGTCTCTTAATTGTATCTCTGATACAATTTGTGCAATCTGTGGTATTAAAGGATCATGCAAACTTGTTTCAAAATAGTGAACAAATAAGTGATTAGAACTAGTTAGAACAGGTGATCACTGATCATAGACTGGGAGACAGATGTTACTGTTACTATTTGAGTGAAAGTTCTTGCAAATGTATCCTTAGGTGCTTTGAAGGTAGAACTAGAACTGTCAGAAAGAATACTCTGTCTAGATATGGACTGTTATTAATCTTATCATTGTGGCTTGCCAGTGGAGCATATCCTCAGCTGCACCTGCAGAATTTTGTATTGGAGTGTCATGGACCAATCAGAAAGAGCCTCACATTAATCCATTTCAGTGTCATAGTTTGACTTCTTCCTGGCTCCTCGTTACCTTTTTTTAAAATGTGTATTTTGTTTGTTTATTTATTTTGCCTGCATGTATTATATGCACCTTGTGTGTGCTTGGTTCCCACAGTGGTCAGAAGAAGGCATTGGATTCTCTAGAACTGGAGTTAGAGATTGTGTGGGCCATCTTGTGGGTGATGGGAACTGAACCTGGGTCTTCTGTAAGAGGAGCTAGTGCTCTTATCCACTGACCCATTTCTCCATCCCCAACTATCTTGTTTGTTGTTGTTGAATGATTTTATTTTTTGAAATGTATGTGTATGAGTGTTTTGATTGCATTTATGTATTGCATTTATATATACCATATGTGTGCCTTGTCCCACAGGGCATTGGATTCCCTGGAGTTTTGGATGGTTATGAGCCACCGTGTGGGTGTTGGGAACTGAACCCAGGTTTTTGCAAGAACATGTGCTTTTAACCATTTGTAGCACTAATTCTAGTTGGTATTAATAATAAAAACCCAGAGACAGATATTGGGGTTAAAGGTGAAGATCAGAAAAGCAAAGTGTCCAGCCACTAGAGAGTTCGTCTCACCAATGCTCAGACTGAAAGGGCAATCCTGTCCTCAGATTGCATCTCCAGACTGCACTGAGCTCCTGTGCTAGGACTAAAGGCATGTGAGTTCTGTTTCTCTTTTAGATTGGACCATTTTCAAGTAGCTAAGGGTGACCTTGAACTAACAGTCTGCTTCTGTCTCCTGAGTGCTGGGATTAAAGGTGTATACCACCACTGCCTGGCCTCTGGCTACCTAGTGTGGCTAGCTTTGCATTCTGATATTCAGACAAGCTTTTTTGTTAGATCGTAAACAAAATATCACCACAGCCATTGAGCTATCACTCCAGTCCTGCTTCTAACTATCTTAAAACATTTTTTAAATTAATTAATTTTTTCTGTGTTTTGAATGTTTGCATGAATGAAAGTGTATGCTGAACTGTGGTCAAGGGGTGTCAAATCCCCTGGAAATGCAATTATGGATAGTCGTGAACTTTATGTGGGTTCTGGAAACCAGACCTGGGCTCTCTGCAGGAGCAGCAGGTGCACTTAACAGCTGAGCCATCTCTGACAGCCCTGCTCCTCATCATCTTGATGTGTTCTCAAAGGTCTGACAAGTTTCTTGATTATTTGGTTGGTAGGGAAAGACTGTCTTGTTTTACACTGTGTATCAGTCTCCCTAACACCACTGTCACAAACACAGCATAGATCTAAGGGGGTTGAGTTTACTTCTCATGCATAATCATTGAATTTGTGCCACCCTTTTCCTTCTCCTTTTAGGAACAGCAACTTCATACTAAATTGGATGGGTATGGATGTGGGTCAAGAGCTGAGAGGGAGGATGATGCATAAAAGGAAACATTTTTTCTTTGTTTGGTTTGGTTTTTTGAGACAGGGTTTCTCTGTGTAGCCCTGGCTGTCCTGGGACTCGCTCTCTAGACTAGGTTGACCTCGAACTCATAGAGATCCACCTGCCTCTGCCTTCTGAGTGCTGGGATTAAAGGTCCTAACATGGACATTTACCTGGGATATGTGAGTATGATAGAACTGATATACTGCTGTGATCAGGGTTAGTCAAGTAAATGAATACAATAGCATGAAGTGATTAGGACATTAAAATATAAACATGTGTATATGAGACAGTATGTGTAGGGGCTGGAGAGGTGACTCTGTAGTTTAGAGATGTTGTTGCCCTTGCAGGGGGCCTGGATTGGGTTCCCAGTAAGTTGAGTTCCCAGCACTCTCAGCTGTCTATAACTCCAGCTCCAGGGAACCCAAAACCTATTTTTTGTAGACATCTTCATGTGGTGTGTATACATACAGGCAGATACATGCACATACACATAAAAAGTCCAGAGCTACCTGTCTAAAAACAGCACCACAAATCTTAAGAGTATAGGTCTGGCATCCTGCTCCTTGGGAGGCTAAGGTTAGAAAAGCTGAAATTTTGAGGCCAGCCTAAGCAATGTAGTGAGGCCCTGCCTCAACAAAACATAACCCTAGTAGGAACATAATCTGTGAGAAGTGTTCCGGAAGTAAAAGTCTTCCAGGCCAGAGATACTCTATGAACAATACTACAGAAATTCTATTAGTATAGCCATATAGTTATCACCACTGTATTTTAAACCATTAGATATATAAATTCTCAAGGTTGGTAGCATCCTGTCTTCTCATAAGATTGTAAACAACATTGGTTATATTTTTTTTACTTACATCTTTAAAAAATTCATCTGATAGTTGAAGTATCAGTTTGTAGATTACATTAAGCACCCTTATCTGAGAATGGAGTAAAACTTCTCTTATCTCCATAACAAGTACATAGTTACTAGTAGGACAAAAGGGAAATGAACAATACATTATAGGAAAGAGACTAAGAGAGGCAAGGGCTTCTGTTTTTCTTTAGACAAGGCTAAAAGAAACATCAGGTATCAAAGTAGCACAAACACCTTCGTTTTAAATTTGCTTCCTTTGCTTGCTTGCCTATCAGTCACGGGGTTTGTTACTTTTCTCTGATGCTTTTGTCCAAATGAAATTTCTTTCTTTTTGTACCTGCAGGTTTTCACAGTTGAGGGCAGCAAAGTAAAGCAGGATGTCCGTGGATCCTATGGCCTATGAGGCCCAGTTCTTTGGCTTCACACCACAGACTTGCTTGCTGAGGATCTACATAGCATTTCAAGACCACCTGTTTGAAGTGATGCAGGCTGTTGAACATGTAATCCTAAAGAAGCTGGAGGGCGTGCCAGACTCTGAGATTAGCCCTGTCCAAATTCGTGAATGCACAGAGAAGTTCCTTTGCTTCATGAAAGGACGTTTCGATAACCTTTTTGGCAGAATGGAGCAGCTGATTTTGCAGTCGGTTTTGTGTATTCCCCCAAACATCCTGCTTCCTGAAGATAAGTGTCAGGAGACCCATCCTTTTAATGAAGAAAAATTTCAGCTTCTCAAAAAGGAAATTGAAGAGTTACAGGAGAAGTATAAGGTTGAATTATGCACTGAGCAGGCCCTTCTTGCAGAATTAGAGGAGCAAAAAACTGTTAAAGCCAAACTCAAAGAAACCTTGACTTTCTTTGATGAACTTGAAAACATTGGCAGAGATCATGGAACTAGTAACTTCAGGGAGAGCTTGGTGTCCCTGGTCCAGAACTGTAGAAAACTCCAGAACATTAGAGACAATGTAGAAAAACAAAGCAAAAGACTGGAAACACAGTAGCTTCTCGGTAGTGAAAAGAGAGCATGTAAATAAGTCACTTTTCTTTGATTACTCTTACCTTTAAGGTCTTTTGGGGCCACTTCTCCCTCCTGTCCCAGGTTCCACAAAGCAGATGGGGGGATCTTCTAGAACTGCGGGCTCCAGTTGAGATCTCTAAAGCAGAGTTGGTGTTCATCCGCTTTTCCCCTTCTGAAATTTGGGTTGACCACCGTTTTATCTGGTGACACCGCAAGTTCTTCTTTCGGGATTGCACCTGTTCATCTGTTAGGGGTTTTAGTATGATTTCGGGAGGGAGTGGAACCCTGTGTAAATCAGGCCTGTATATTCAGTCACTGAATGCTGGAGTGCAGCCATGTGGTATATCAGGGACTAATAAAGCAGAAAAGCTGGACTGGGGACATAGCTCAGTGGTAGAGCATGCTTAGCATGTGGGTCTCTCAGGGTTGAACATGCCACACTCTGGAGAGAAGCAAAAGGAGGAGGGAAAAGAACAAAAAAAGCAAAGGGGAAACAAGGAGCAGCAGAGGGGTCAGGGATATGAGGTGAAATATACTGCAGTATTAGAAGAGGTGTGCTCTATTCATAATGAAAGATTCAAGTCCAGCTTACAAGAGAAGGCATTAGCCACGTGCCTGAAGGATCATCCTTGGCAAAGAAAATAGCAGAAAACCCATAAGGAAGGACATGTTAAAGATACACACAGGTGGAGCAGATGTACAGTTGGGAAGCAGGCGTTACACTTGTCACATTCCATTCCATTTTTATTAGACAGACAGACAGGGCCTGATGATATGGGTCAGCAGGTAAAGTACTTGTAGTATAAGCCTGGTGACCCAGGTTGGATCCTCAGAACCCTTGCAAAGGTGAAAAGAAAGACTTGATTCACAACATTGTACTTTGAGTTCTAAAGGTACACTGTGGCGTGTGCACCCTCACATTGTGTGTGCATACACACATACATATACACAATAATTCTTTTTCAGAGTAAGCAAAACCTGTGTATGTTTGTGTGCCATTAAAAACTAATTCCTAACCAGGTGGTGGTAGTGCACACCTTTAGTCCCAGCACTTGGGAGGCAGAAAGCAGGCAGATCTCTGTGAGTTCGAGACCAGCCTGGTCTACAAGAGCTAGTTGTAGGACAGACTCCAAAGCTACACAGGAAAACAAAACAAAAAAACAAAAACCAAACCTGAGTCCTAGCTGGCTGTTGTGCACATCGTTGATCCCAGCACTTGGGAGGCAGAGGCAGGTGGATCTCTTGGGAGTTCAGTCTGGCCTACATAAAGAGTTCCAGGACAGCCAGGGCTACATAGAGAGACCCTTTCTCAAAACAAAACAAAACAAAGCCAAATCTGATTCATGACACTTGTTATATTGGTAAAAAGACTTTGTTGGGGACTCTTGGATTAGATAAAGGAGCCATTTGCATCAGGGTTTTGCATTGGGGGAGTGGTTGGATTCTGAATATAACAAGGAAAAGTTGGATATACAGCTAAGGGACAGAATGGACAAAAGGTTATCATTAGATGGAAAATGACGAAAGGGGACAATGGTAGAGTTTGAATGTGTGCAACAAAATTCATGTATTAAAACTAACTTCCAGAGGCAGGCGGATCTTTGTGAGTTCGAGGCCAGGCTGGACTGACAGCCTCCAAACAATACAGAGAAACCCTGTCTCGTAAAAACAAACAAACAAAAAAAACCTAACTTCCTAGTGATACAGTGTTGAAGTTGAACGTTTATACTTTGATTAATGCCAAGGGAATGGAGGAGTTTTTGGTAAGTAGGTTTCCAATGAAAACATGAGTTCAGACCACTCTGATTTCACTCTGCAATGCCTCCACCATGGGAAGAGACAGCAAGAAGGCATTTTCCTTAACTTTGGACTTCCTAATCTCTATACCTATAATAAATATTTTCCTGAAGTATTTACATGCTACCTTGCAGTTTAATATATGGGAAGATGTTCTTAATTCAGCACTGGGGAAAGTTTAAAGAATGATGCCATAGCCAAAGATACTCCTACTTTATGAGCCCTTTGTGATCCTAATCCTTTTGATTGACTGAACACAACTTGAGAGAAGGAGTAAACCATTGATTCCTTTATTAACCAGTCATTACAAGTGGGTGTACTTTGCTTACACCGGGAGCTTGCTAATTGATTGCAATATATAGCAAAAGAGACTACTCTTGGATTTGGTACAGAAGAAAGGTTGTTTTTGTTTCCAGAACAAATTCTTTGCGAGAGCAAGGCCCTGATGGTAGTAAGCAGTTGACCTTGGCATCCATCAAGACTGGGAGAAAAACCAGTCCTCTTTATGGCTTCTTGTCCTTGGTACTAGGGAATTGAACCTAGAGAGTTCACACTAAGCAGTACTGAACTCTACATTCCTAGAATTTAAGTAACATAAAACATGGGCCAAAGGGATGGGTACATTTGATTATTATTTTTTTAAGATTATACAGTATTCTGTCTGCACATATGCTTGCAGGCCAGAAGAGAGCGCCAGATCTCATTCCAGATGGCTGGGAGCTACCATGTGGTTGCTGGGAATTGAACTCAGGACTTATGGAAGAGCAGCCAGTGCTTTTAATCTCTGAGCCATCTCTCCAGCCCCCAACATTTGATTATTTTTAAGATTTATGTGTCTGATCCCCAGAACTGGAGTCACCATGTAGGTCATGGAAGCCTAAACCCTGTCCTCTTCAAGAATCCTGAGTGTTCTTAGCTCCTGAGTCATTTCTCCAGCTCATAGGTGATTTGTTTTATGGTCAAACTCTAAAAGGCTGCTTATTAATGGGCAGGTAAAGACTTGATAATTTGGACAATGCATTCTTGAAACTGTTGTATTTTTAAGACTATACGGAAGCAGTTACCTGAAAAATAAGTAGATGCATGATCACTGTGGGATCCCTAAACTGCCTAACGGGAAGGTAGGCCAGACAGGTGATGATGCTAAAGCAACCTGTCGATGATGGGAAAGCAGTGATTAGAAATTATAGGCCACCCAGCACTTGGGAGGCAGAGGCAGGTGGATCTCTGAGTTCGAGGCCAGCCTGATCTACAGAGTGAATTCCAGGACAGCCAGGGCTACACAGAGAAACGTTTCGAAAAGCCAAAAAGAAAATACAGGTCAAATATTGAAGCCCAATAAAACCAGGAAGTTCAAAGAAAATGGGCAGATATAGGGAACCCAGCCAATAAGACAATATTGGAGTGTGGGAAGAAAAGTAATTGAGTCTTGGGTCTGGGTAAACTTGGAAGGCAATGATGGGTAAATGTTAAAGGCTGAAGTACAACAGCAGGGAGACTATTCGTGGGACAACAATACATTCAGAAGTAAAGGACAATATAGGTTATTTTCCTGTACTGGGCATTGAACCTCAGGTTCATGGCATTGAACTATACCCCAGATGGGGGGCTGGATATTTGAGATTTTAAAATTTTAGTTATATCCCTTTGTATGCCATGTGTTTGCTGGTGCTTGTGAAGGCCAGAAGAGGGCATCAGACCCCTTGGAGCTGGGACTAAGGGATGATGGTGAGCTGACCAACAGGTGCTGGGAATCCAACTACAGTCCTCTGGAGGAGCAGCAAGCATTCTTTTGTTATTTGGTTGGTTGGTTTGATCTGGGGTCATGGGAGGAAAAAGGTTTGTTTCCTCTTATAATACAAGGTAATAGCCCATTACTGAGGGAAGTCAGGGCAGGGACTCTGTCCTGGAGGCAGAAACTGGAGCAGAGACCATAGAAGGATGCCGCTTACTCTATGGCTTGCTCAGCTTGTTTTAATTTTATTATTAAAACATAGTTACATAATTTCCTCCTCTTTACTCCCTCCAACCCTTTCCATGCCCCTCTTCTCAAATTCATGGCCCTTAAATTGTTATTGAACACACACGCATGCGTGCGTGTGTGTGTGTGTGTGTGTGTGTGTGTGTGTGTGTGTAAGCTTCACCCATAATACCTCAACAATGGCTGCCTGAACAAGGTCTGAACAAGGACAACACCAATATGCATACTAACAACAGGAAAGGGGAAGATCTCACTGAGTCCCACTTGTAGACAAAGAACTACAGGCAACTGAGAAATGCCGAGTGAGAGGGAGGGCGGGAGAATTTCTGGTGATGAGCCCCCAATTGACTAATTTGATGCAACAAGCATTCTAAATGGCTGAGCCATCTCTAGTCCAGATGTTGAAGTTGGAATTGTAAAGGCAGTATGTCTAACAGTGGTATAATTGGTAGAATTAGATGCTTGAATTTGGGGCAGAAAATGGGAACTTAGGTATCTGGAAAGTATCAAGATAACTTGGAATAATAAATATTGAGGAATGGGTAATGTGGTTTGGGAACTAGAGGAAGGAATCTACTATCGAGATGATATGATCATACGTAGGACTGTAAAGTGAGAGACAATGCTTGGAAAACATGAGGCCATAGGGATTCAGTGGGGGGCAGTATTAAGGAATAGTACTATCCAGTGTACAAGGGATAGGTGTACACTGATAGATACCTATCACCATACCGTGGACATGTAATTTGGGGGAAATGCCATTGATGGTTAGAGAATTACTATAAATAGGCTGTCATAAGGGAACAGTGGCTGTCAGACTTGTGGCACATAAACTGCAGAGAAGCAGGATACCAAGTCACATGGTGATATAGGATTAGGGACAGCCAGAACTGTGAAGGAAGGCCCTTTTATGAGAAACCAGTTTATAAAATCCCAAGCTGGGTGAATGATGGGGCAGATTCAGAGCTTACGAGGGACTTTGCTGGGCAGGAGCGCCTTAATAGGGAGCCAAATGGGGACTAAATACTGAGGAGCAGTGGACAGTGGGGCAAACCTGATGTTAAGGGCTTGTGGATATAGGAACCTGGACATCGTGACAGATGCCACAGAGGGAGCTGTATAGCTATTTGGAGTGAAGAGATGTTTTGCCTAGGAATGCTGGGTAATTAAGTCAGCTTTACAGGGATAGTGGGAATGTTTTAAAGAGGGAGTGAAATCTGGAGCAGAATAGCAAGTCTAGCAAGGGCCATCATATAGTTGGAAGTTAATGAACAACTGAATACAAAGGAGACTGAGAATGCAGTTTATTCCATCAGACATAACACAATTACAGACATTTGCGTAGAGTATAGCAGTGCTGGAGGACTGCATTTGAACAACTGACATTCACAAGTAAACAAAGTGGGGAGGCAATTAACCTGCAAAGATGAGTTCTGGTATTTATTTTTGAGTCTGAGATGACAGATCCAGCAGGAACTCTTAATATTGACAGTGCCCAATCCCAGCCCCTTCATCTTGATCCCTTAGCTTCGGGGGCCTCCAGGCTGAAATGAAGTCATCTGAGAATTTTCTAGTATAGTCCTCCCATGGACCCCAGCAAAGGAAGACCCTCAGTCTTATCTCACAGAATCCACGAATTCTAGTCCTCCGTCCCTGAAGGTCTGTGGTCTCCCGTTCCACACAGTCCAAAAATCTGTCATGAGCGTTGGCTTTCTATGTTCAACTCCGCTTACTACAGGCCTTGGGTCCTCCTGGTAGCCACAAAACCTAAAGTGGAGAAAAAAAATGTCCAGCCCGCATCTGCTCCCAACTCCTTAGGGTGCAGAATCATACCTTGACAAACCCCACTCACCTCCAGCTTACAGCCATACCCGTCTGCTCTCCCAGGTCCGCCCAGCTTGGTGTGCTGAGTTCTGACTGAAACAGCTCCTTCTGTTGTGACGCAGTAGCGTCATGGGGCTCCAGCACTATAGCTAGGGCACTGATTCTCTGGGTACCATCTCTGGGAGGCCGCAGGCTCCGGTCTGGTTCATCCTTTTTAAGCAGCAGAAGCTTGGACTCATTCTGCGCTCTACAAATGCAAAAACACTGGGCCCTCACATCACAAAGTGGTAGGGTACAGAGACATCATCTTAATTACAAACGGGGTTCAATCCAATCCAGGATCGTAAACGTTACAGACTAATTGCACTTAATGTGTGGGTGCAAGCAGCGCTGCTAATTCATTGCCGGCAGCGACTCTGGACCTTTTGATGAAACGCTACACAAGCAACGACAAAGAAAAGCATCAAAAGCTAGATGAAAGGGTGTAGCGCATTTCCAAAACAACAGGATGCGAGTTCCCCTACCCCAATCGCTCCCACCTCCCCTACCCCCCATGTGGGACCCTGGCCGCTTAGGCAAGCTGCAAATGGATATAGGTGAAAATGCAGGAAGTGATGGAGAAGGCGATGGCCGCGTAGATGAAGATGGAGAGGTGCGGAAAATGGTCGAGGTAGCAGCCCTCGTCCACCAGAGGCTCCTCTTCCTCAGGCTCCGGGCGCACGACCGCCTTCCGGGACTGTCCAGTGCGGGTCCCCGGAGCCCTCCCGCCCACACGCCGACCAGATTTCTTGCCAGTCGAGGACGCCGACTTGGCTGCACGGACAGTGTGGCCCTCTTCCGGGGGCGGCTTATCGAAGAGGCCCTCGGACTCTGGGTCAGAGTCGAAATACATCTGCTCTGGAGCCCAGGGCTTGCGCGGAAAGGAACCTTTAGCCATCGGCGCAGAAGACGGATAGACGGGTCAGCTGCTGAGACTGGGAGGCGAAGTCCCTACAGGGTTGCAGTGCAGTAGGTGGTGGTCCGGACTGCAGCAGTATTTCTACACAGGGTCGCAGTGCAGTGGGTGGTGGCCAGGACTGCCGCAGTATTTCTACACCCGGTGTGGGTGGGGGTAGTGTGGGCGGAGTCAGCAGAGCAGGGGGCCTCTGCGGTCCGGAGCCTCTCTGCCCAGAGGCCCCTTTCTCTGGCTCCTCCTTTCCACCCACAGCCTGTTGCAGAGGTTGGCCAGCCAGCTTCTAGTATCTCCCAAGTCTTGGTGCAGCCAGGTCTGTCTCCATAGCAACAAGACTGGCATGCGGGGGTGGCGGTGGGAGGCAGGAGGCAAGAGGAGCTTGTTGGGATCTCCCTGCTTGTAAGGGGGACTTGGCATTCTGGAAGATGAAATGCAGGGGTTAAAGCTCCAAGCTGCGCAAGGAGCTTCCCGAGGGTTTTACTTCTCCTTTTCAAAGACAGGAATAATATAAGGTCTTAAAAACTGATAGGTAGACACGTTTAATGAGATGATGATGTACAAATGCGCAGTTTTATAACCAAAGGACATGGCGTTGCTGCATGAGATCCAGATACTTGAAAAATCAGTGAAAAAGGCCAGCTCACAGCCTAAGTGGTGGCCACTCAGTCTGATCTCTCAATGTATGCTCTTTCCCTCTCCACCACTTTCCCTTCACCGCTCCCTTCTTCCTCCCAGGCTGAACTCCTGATCCCCCATGTGGCTCAGAGAAGTCGGGGGAGGGAGACGAAAAACCGACACAACTTTGTAGAAAATATGGCGAATTTAGCTGTGTACGCACACAAGAGACTGGAGCAGAAGAGGCCTTGAGTTCCAATCTAGCCAGCATGTATGTGGAGGCTCTGACCCAAAAGACAAAAACAATATCACAATAAAACTTCTACAGCCCGAGGGTCCAGAAGTAACAGAGGTAAAGATTTGTGTCTCCCACCCTCTTTTCTCACTGCTGTCTATACCTATTTTCATTCTTCATTAACTTCCAACCTTTGGGGTATTTCACCTGTGACTGGAAACAAATCCTCTCAGGGAGTCAGTAAGGTGGCTAAAGGCACTTGCTACCAAGCTGGATAACCTGGATTTGATCCCCAAGATCCACATGATAGGAGAGAACAGGCTCCTACAAATTGTCCTGAATTCTACACATATGTCATAATGTACACACTCACACACACAGACACACTAAACATACCTGCTCACACTGTTCGGTTAGGATCTCCAGCTTGCCCCTGTGAAAGTCCCATTCCTGCCTCTCTAACACCAGCTTTCTCAGAGAATCTCCAACAAAGGGAAGGCTCCAAAAAGCCCAGTCCTGTATTCTTGGCACATTCTTGGTGGCTACAGTACCTCCTCCCCCCAAATCTCCTCCTAAAATGTACCATACTTGGGCACAAACCCAGCTTGTGGTAGATACATCATCACCCCTCGACTAAGGGTACGTAAGTGTCCTGCTTTAGTTTGGCCATGTGATTTTTCTCCTATCCTTTCTCCCACCTTAACCTCTGGGGTCTGAAGGACTCATCTGGGAGTTGCTTTGCTCAAAATAAATTTGCTTTTGTGCTTTTTCAGTTTGGCTTGATTTGGCTTACTGCTACGGCAGAGAAATCTTTTATTGGGGGACAGAAAACCTTACTATTTTTTTTAAGCGTTGAAAAAAGCCCTTCCAGAGATTTTCATGATCCAAGCCCATTTCTCACCTCTCTTCCCAGTCAGACTCTTTGGCACCTTCGGTACTTGGTGGGTACCACTGTCTCTTGGTACTTCTGTTGTGCCTGAGATTCCAAGGCTGGTTGTCAGTTCCTTGTGGGATTTGGGGAGAACAGTCACATGATTCATTTGGGCCTTTGTTGTGTTGGAGGAATCCACTGGCAAGCCTGTCAGTAGCAGTAGATCCAACTCCTACCGAACAACTCATTGTAGTGCATCCACCAGAAACCAGGATCATGGTGTTGAAATAACGTGACTAGAGTGTTGTCTCTCATGCTCAGAGCATTCTGCATTTCTTGTAGCAGTAGCAGATATCACTAGGTGTGGTAGCATTCTGACGTTTACTGAATAAGTGATAGGGTGAATGAATGGTGATAGGGTGCAAGAGGCTGCATTCTCAGAGTGTAGCAGCTCCAGATAAGAGCATTTCCTTGGCTAGGACAAAGAGAACACGAGATCCTCAGCCATGCTACTAGAATTTGAGAAGGGTGAAGGGACTTTTTATGATAGTTTCATAAAAAGTTATGCATATACTTAAGATGTAACTCAGGTGATATGGGATGTCCTTCTGTAGGCTGTGAATATGTGTTGCTTTTATTGATTGATGAATAAAGCTGTTTCAGCCAATGGCCAGGCAGAGTATACCTCGGCGGGAATTCCAGACAAAGACAGAGAAGGAAAGCAGAGTTGAGGAGATACCATGTAGCCGTTAGGGAAGCAAGATGACAGGGCGTCACTGGTAAGACACAACCACGTGGTAATATACAGATTTAAGACAGAATTAGCCAGTAAGAAGCCTAAGCCATTGGCCAACAATTGTAATTTACATTAAGCCTCAGAATGGTTATTTCAAAAATAGCTGCAGGGACTTGGTGGATGGAGAGAAAACTGTTCCAGTGAGACTGGGCTAGGAAGAGAAACAGGTTAAGAGCTGAACACATAAAAGCTTCCTCCACACTCAGGGGGCTAGAGAGATGGCTCAGCAGTTAAGAATACTAATTGCTTTTCTAGAGAACCACATTCAGTTCTCAGCAACTGGGACCTTCATAGGTACCAGGCATGTATACAGTACTCAAACATATATGCAGGGAAAACCCATATGTATAAATTTGTTTTTAAAAGTTAAAAAAGCAGGAGCTAAGTTTTATGCCCAGAGTGTTGCAGATCATCTGCTGGTGACTTCCCCTTTTCTCTGTCTCCCTTTCTCGTGGATCACTCTTGTCTTTTACAGCCTTCCTCCACGATGCATGCCTTTGTCGCAGCTGCCTAATCCAGGAGGCACTCCCTGGGAAACGGGCTGGCCACTCTGGCCAAGGAATCATGTGGTGATATTTTGTTTATGATCTAAGAAATAAAGCTTGCCTGAAGATCAGAGTGCAAAGCTAGCCACAGTCGTCAGCCATAGAGGCCAGGCAGTGGCGGCACGCACCTTTAATCCCAGCAACCACACTAGTTAGCCATGGAAGCTGGGCAGTGGTGGTGCATGCCTTAATCCCAGCACTAGAGAGGAATAAGGTGGGAGAGTCAATAGTAAGGCTGAGGACAGGATTGCTCCTTTTTGGTCTGAGCCTTGGTGGAGGTAAGAACTCCCTAGTGGCTGGCTGCTTTGCTTTTCTGATCTTCAGCTTGACCCCTAATATCTGTCTCTGGGTTTTTATTATTCATGCTACAGAATCCTATTGGTGTCTTACTCAACCACCATTAAAGAAGCAGATGGGAACAAATAAAGAGACCCAGAGCCAGACAATGTGCAGAGAGTGAGAGACGGTGGAACACTGTTGCTTTCCCTTCAGTATAGTGGCGGTGACCTAATGTACTACTGTTTGAGCCCAGTGGGAATTCTGTTCCCGTAGGCTTCAGCTCTGTCGCTACCTCTAAAGGCAGCTTTAACTAAGTCTCTATCGTTCTATTTATAAATAAGACTCGAAATTCCAGTGCTGAGGTGAAAACCTGAGAGCTCTCAGAGTCTGAGAAGCAAAACAGTAACCTTTCTCCTTGCTGGTGCCTTCAAAGCACTTCTCCAAACCAGAAAAACCTGCGCCACTCCAAATCCATCCCCACTACTTCCTGTGTCTCTCATTCTCTCTTGGATACCCTCTGATGCTCTATGCCTACTAATTGCTAACTCAGCCTCCTGACCTAAGGCTATTTTTATTTAATCAATGCAAATGCAAACTCAGGGTTCACAATGTGATCAAATATCCTGCAACAACACTCTTGTCTTAAAAGGGTTATCTCCATCAATCTCTCCCCTCAAGGCTCAGGGAACCGTGCAGAAGAGTAGATGGAAAGATGGCAAGAGTCAGAGAGGATGGAGGATGCCAAGGAAAAAAGGTCCTCTAAATACAGGGAGACTGACACATGTGTGAACTCGGAGAGACTGTGGCAGCATGCGCAGGCCTGTCTGGGCCTGTTCCAGCACTGGGAGAAGTAGACACAAACCCCTATCCCTAACCCAGAAGCTATCTACAATTGATAACCACTCACAAATGACAGTTTTCTCCTACAGAGTCTCATTGGGGAAACAAACCACTCTTAAGGGCAGACCCCATGCCCAGCTGTAGATGGCCAATAGAAAATGAACTCATCTTTGGAGGTTCTTTGTCTCATATTTTGTCAGGGATTTCTCTTCTTCTTCTTCTTCTTCTTCTCTTCTTCTTCTTCTTCTTCTTCTTCTTCTTCTTCTTCTTCTTCTTCTTCTTCTTCTTCTTCTTCTTCTTCTTCTTCTTCTTCTTCTTCTTCTTCTTTTTCCTTACAGGTCCTTTGAGTATATACTATGGCTTCCAATTTTGTGTTTTAATGATTCCTGTGTGTATGAATGTGTCTCCTATTCTGGTTTGTTTGTTTTTGTTTTATTTTTATTATTATTCTTTAGATGCCTGTTGTTTTCTAACTAGAGATAGAAGTGTGGATTCAGAAGGGAGGGGAGATGGGGAGGATCTTGGAAGAGCTGGGAGAGAGGAAGCCATATTAGAATATATTGTATGAAAAAGAATCTCTTTTTGTTTTGTTTTGTTTTTTTGAGATAGGGTTTCTCTATGAAACAGTTTTGACTGTCCTGGAACTCACTCTGTAAACCAGGCTGGCCTGGAACTCACAGAGATTCACCTGATTCTGACTCCTTAGTGCTTCTGACTCAGTGCTGGGATTAAAGGCATGCACCACCACTCACATATTTTTAATGAGAGAAAAATAGAAATAAAAAAGGATAGGACCTACTAAGCCCACTCCTAGATTCTACTTAAGAAAAATGACTGCTTGGCCGGGCGTTGGTGGCGCATGCCTTTAATCCCAGCACTCAGGAGGCAGAGGCAGGCGGATCTCTGTGAGTTTGAGACCAGCCTGGTCTACAATAGCTAGTTCCAGGACAGCCTACAAAGCCGCAGAGAAACCCTGTCTCGAAAAACCACAAAAAAAAAAAGAAAAAAAAAGAAAAATGACTGCTCTATATGGAGACATCTATAGCAACATTACTGGTAATAGCCAGAATTGCAAATAATTCAAATGTCCATCAAATGATGAATGGATGAGGTTCATCTGTACAACTAAAATACTACTCAGCAATGCAAAAGAGTGAGCTACTGGTACCTAGTTAATTGGGCCTGGTCTAAAAAAGCATGCTAAGTGAAAAAGAAAAGCCGGGTGAAAGAAAACATAGGTAGGTGATAGAAGAGATATGAAATGTCTAGAAAAGGCAAATTTATAGAAATAGGAAAGAGATTTATTGTTTGTTGCTAAGGAGGGAAATAAAAATACTTGCTATAAACAGGCTTCAGGAAACTTTCTAGTACAACCTTATACAGTTCCCTTTTTAAAAGTCAGTTTTGAATTTTATGTGTGTGGGTGTTTTGTCTGTGTACTATGTGTGTTCATAAAGCCTGAAGAGGCCAGTGAGGGTGTCACATCCACAGCTGGAGTTAACGGATGATTGAGCCACCATGTGGGTGTTGGGAATTGGGCCTAGGTGTTCTGGAAGAGCAGAGAGTACTCTTAACTGGTGAACCATCTCTCCAGTTTCCTCTTCTTAAAATAAACTTTAAAAGGACTTTAGTTTACTTATGTATGGGCATGTATGTGTAAGTGCGCACGTGTGTGCAGGTGTCTGTGGGTGTCAGAGAGGGTATCTTTATTTTTATACTTATTTTTATTTTAATGTATCTGTGGGTGTCAGTGTGGTGTGCTACATGTGTGTGGGTGCTCAGGGAG